GCGATAGCTTCCTGAACGAGATTGGATCTCGGGACGACCTGCACCTTGACACTGGTGGTCTGAGTGCGGAGCAATGTTCAATGTTGTTCAGAAACATTGTTTCAAGTCCGGACCAGGCTTAATTGGGATGATTGAAATACGTACCAAACCCCGTGCAACGCCATTTTTGACCTCCGTTCTCCATCGAGTCCTCTGATGTGTTGCTTTATTTACAAGATTTCCAGAAATTGCCGTTATGAGAAGGCGAAAATACATAGTTCTTTCAAGCAATTATAGCAATTTTAAAGTTGTTTACAAATATGTGGACCGCTCCGATATCGTTGCCGGTTTTATTTCGTGTTTTATAAACTCACTCTTATTAAGTGCACGCGCAGATTATTCCTCATTATATTGTTCCACGCCCTGTTCTCGGAGTTAATTGCCCGGACTGGTTTCGTTCTCAGGGAAAAAGTACTGCTGAGATTTGAAAGTTTGGAAGAGTTTTTACAACGGCTTAGAAAGGAGTGAATGTTCGAGGGAAACATTGTCTTTTGAACTATGGTGATACTTAATGAATGAGAAATGGATATTGAAATAAAGGGAAAAAGTCCTGAAAATCCAATCTAAACAATCTCGTATAAATTTAATTTACAATCAACCTGTAGTTGCTTAGTTTCGAGTTGTAGGGACATTTTTATGAGGCTTGATCCATTTTAGTGCTATTATGCGACCTAATAATTTTTGATGTAGCATAATTCAGTCGTAATCCTTTAGATCCTCTGGGAATAAGAGATCGTGAGCGCGGTATTATAAAATTCTAATGAAACATGTCTCGGAAATAAAAAAAGGAACCGTGCTCACACCTTTCACTGCGGCATTAGCTGTATTAAACTTTTGTCGGGCATATAATGACTAATTTAAAACCCGACCGTACACAGGGTTAACGAGCACCGGCGAATCTGGCTTTTAAAAAAAGCATCAAGTGGGAATTCGAAAGAATTTTAACCAAGCAAAACCAAAATCCGGCAGTCACCGGTGATAAATTACGGCCGGTAGGTAGTACCAGAACCGGAGGCGGGATGATAGACCTTCTTCTTAATTAGGTTGAGTATGTCACTCCCCAAACCTCTTCCCATACGGTTAGAAAATATGATTGAAAATTGGGTAGTTATTAGTTACCTGTAGTTCAAAAATAAGTCAAAATTCATTGCTAAACTGACAAAGCAGTTATTGCAGGTTATTAAGGCAGTATTTATTATATGGGTGGGCACGACGTCAACACATTCTTTTTTCATACATTGTATAATATAAAGAGCCACTCCATAATTAAACATTATATATAATATACAAATTAGAATTAGGAGGTGTCGGTGGCCGCAACGGTTAAGACGTTGACACGGCGGTCATCACTGTAAGGTAAACGTCCTGGGTTCAAATCCAGCGGCCCTGCATTCGACATGCATACTTAGAAATGGCCCTTATTGCAAAAACATCGGCACCCCGAGAGTTCAAAACAAAATTAGACTTTGTTCTTCTAGTTGGTCTTTTTTGATTTTCGGTCTTTTTGTTTTTGATTTGTATGATTGTGTAATAATGTTTGTAAATTGGAGTTTTTTTATATTGTTCTATTAGTCGTTTTTGATCTTCGGCCCTTTTTCTTTTTAATTTGTATCATGTTTTAATGATGTTGGTGAGGTATCATTTTGGTGATGTTTTTAAATTTGTATGTTTCAAATGACGATTGTGAGTTATTGTTAAATCGGATTTTTTATTGTTTTATTTGGGCTTTTTTATTTTTGGTCCTTTTTATTTATAATTTGTTTAATGTTTTAAATTATGTAAGTGATGTTTGTGTGTTATTGTTAACTCGGAGTTGTTGTTTTTGTTCTAGTTCTTATTTTTTGATCTACGGTCCTTTTTCTTTTTAGTTTGAATGTTTTAACTGATGTTTGTGAGTTATTGTTAAATCGGATTTTTTTATAGTTTTATTTGGCCTTTTTTGATTTTTGGTCCTTTTTATTTTTAAATTTCTTTAATGTTTTAAATGATGTAAGTGATGTTTACGAGTTATTGTTAAATCGAAGTTTTTTTTTTGCTTTTTTTTATTGTTCTAGTTCTTATTTTTTGATCTACGGTCCTTTTTCTTTTGAGTTTGTATGTTTTAAATGATGTTTGCGAGTTATTGTTAAATCGGAGTTGTTTTTTTTTATTGTTCTAGTTCTTATTTTTTGACCTACGGTCCTTTTTCTTATTAGTTTGTATGTTTCAAATGATGTTTGTGAGTTATTTTTTGTTAATGTGGTTTTTGGAGTTTTTTATTGTTTTATGTAATCTTTTTTGATCGTCGGTACTTTTTCTTTTTAATTTATATAATGTTTTAAATGACGTTTGTGAGTTATTGTTAAATCGGATTTTTTATTGTTTTATTTGGGCTTTTTTATTTTTGGTCCTTTTTATTTATAATTTGTTTAATGTTTTAAATTATGTAAGTGATGTTCGTGAGTTATTGTTAACAATGAGTTGTTGTTTTTTTGTTCTAGTTCTTCTTTTTTGATCTACAGTCCTTTTTCTTTTTAGTTTGTATGTTTCAAATGATGTTTGTGAGTTATTGTTTTTTTTTATGTGGTTTTGAAGTTTTTTTATTGTTTTATGTAATCTTTTTTGATCGTCGGTACTTTTTCTTTTTAGTTTATATAATGTTTTAAATAATGATTGTGAGTTATTGTTGATTTGTGTGTTTATGAGTTTTTTGTTGAATATGTTATGTTCATATATTTCTAAGTTTTCTAGGAAGCCCATTTTCGCCCTTTTTGTACGTTAGTAGTTTTATACTTATTTGTATTGTCGATGGTTCGGGGTTGTTTTCTATAAGGCGTGTAATTCGATTTTTCGAATTGCCCCTAAATGATTTGATATGTTCTTGGTATCTGCCTTTTATTTTTGCATCATGTCTGTCCTATGTATTTGCCTCAGCATTCGCGCGCTAGTGTTTTCAGTTTTTTTTTTTTTTTTCTAGTTGGACCGCCTTGCAGATGCTTTTTTTTTCCTTAGTAATTTTCCTATTGTGTTTGTGGTTATGACTAATTTGTCGAATAAGTTAGTTTGTACGTTTCTTTCCCATGTATGTGAATGCAATTTTGTTTAGTGGGAGTGATTTATGTCTGACATATATTTTGTGACTTCTAAAAATTCTTTCTATTTGTCATATTTATTGATGATGTTTTTTGGCATTTTGTTCTTAATTAAAGTCAAAATGTTCAAAAATATCTTTAAAGAATTTTCTTATTAATTTGAAGTATTTATTTTGCTAAGAGATGCACGTAGTGAAGGAAACAAATTAAACACAACATAATTTGTTCAATGTTGGTCTATTATTTGGACGGACTAGAGAGCTATTTCTTATACCTGTCCAATGCAAGATTTAGAAAAACTTTTTTTCCTGGAACAATCTCCGTATTCTATTACTTACGGGGGGGGGGTTTAAATTAATAAGAGCCCTTTCTTCCTCTTGCATATTTCCAAAACTATTCGGGAAGTCATTAGTACAACGACAATGGTTGAAAGGGCGCAAAAAAAATTTTTTATGGGTCGTGCAAGGTTTGACGGCAGGGACTTTGAAAACTAATGATAAACCGGTCAGAAAAAGTCAAGACTTTTTTTACATTAATTTTCTATTTCGGGTGCCGTTTTGATACCTGCCCCTGGGCCTCAACTTGATTAACCTTTGTTGAGTTAACAACTAATTCCCTGGGTTTGTAATTAAAAGAATTGATTCATGTTGGGGCCAGTCTACCGACGCCCTCTCGGATCCGGCTTTGATTTTTTCCTCTCTTTTGCCCCCATCTCTTAGCCATATGTAGCTGTAAATTATCTTAGCATATGGCTGAATACACTCGGTGCCAAGACCTGCACACATTATACTGCGTCTGGCTAGTAGACTAGAACGGTTTTGGCCATCTATTGTATGGAAAAGAAGAAAAGATTAAACAAACAAAAGAAAAGAATAAATCCAAAGCTGTTCCGTTTTTTTGAAGAAACAGAGTTGTTTCATTGTACATAGTAATGATAGTTTTTGTGTTCTTAGCGTCTGTTGAGAGTGGAGTATTTATTGGTGTGAATGTATAGTGTTAAAGGGTGAATTGCTTGATGTGTCCGACTTAATTGAAGGGTGCCACTCCTTGGCTCCATATAGAGAGCCACCCGATATGATTTTGATTGATATTGTGCTTGAGTGTCACAGTGCTAGTATTTGGGACCCAAACAAAACTGTATATTGTATACAGTGCATTATCGATATCTCGTCTTGTGTTTCTGTGTGTATATTGAAACTGAATGTATTTATTAGAGTGAATGTGAGTCATTTTTTTTCTTTTTCTCTTATGTATTTGTGCATGCTTAAACTGCATTAATATTATTAATAATGATTTTTTTTATTGACAATATATACAACAGTTTTAAATCATTTCTATCTAGATCATCACATTAAACATTATATTTTAAATGATTAAAAATTAATAAATACAAACTAAAAACTACCAATTAAAAAGACAAAAGAACAATAATTTAAATAAATTAAATTATGATGATGAAAATTGTACACCGGCTTCACCACAATACTTCCTCGATGACCACACCCTCCACATCCGTGCTTAAAAAAAAAAAAAAAAAAAAAAAAAAAAAATAAAAAAAAAAAAAAAAAAAAAAAAAAAAAAAAAACTAATTCAAAAACAAACTTAACAATTAATAAATACAAACTAAAAGACTACCAATTAAAAAGACCAAAGAACAATAATTTAAATTAAAATGTGATGATGCAAATTATACTACTGCTTCTGTAACAGTACTTCCTCGATCACCCTCCACATCCCTAATTCACCAAGAAAAAAAAACACTGTTTCCAAAACAAACCACTAATTAGCTTAAGCAATAATTATTATAACTAAATAAAGTAGCTAGTAGTAATAAGTACTTAAAATTGTTAAATGTAAATATAATGAATTCACCTTCACTTTTTCTTTCAGTGGTGGCAGGTTTATGGGCATTGGAGAGAAAATTCGTCTCCCTGACGATGTTACCATGGGCTATATCATCGGTACGTATCAACTACAAGTCATATTTAGCCTTAGCTCTCTTATTAATTAATTATTCTTTATTTCTACAGAACATTTGCTTAAGAAACCTTTGACCGTGGTAGATCAGTTTCATTCGCATTTAGAGCCAATGAAGTTCATCGCACAGGATACTTTCCACGATCAGGTAAGACTTGATTAACAATTGAGTTTTTTTTAATATGCTAAATTCATTGTTGGTTTGTTATTTATTTTAAGCATTCTATATTCAAAAATATATTTTTCATTGAACATACATTTTCTATTGAAAAAGGATTGTAGAAGTTTATTGTGGTTAGAGGAATCTCATTAACAAATTGTTGATAGAATGACAAAAAATTTCTTTAATAACTGAAATGAAATAATTGAATATTCCGGTTCAGAATTCCCACTGCACTTCCCATGAGCCATTTTGAAAATTCAATTTTTAAATTATTTCAACAAATCGAATTTCACTTGGTATCTGAAGTATATTCGTTTTAAATGGCACAAGTGGACATGCCTTTGTTTAGTATGTGGAAAAAGTTATGAAGTTGTGGTGACCTCATCTTAAGAAATTGTACAAAGAAAATTTTTATTTTGTTGAATGCTCAGTTTTATTTTATAGTGATATAATAAATAATGAAGTAATGTCATTTCTTAGAAGCCTAAGCAAAATAAATAAAATTGTCTTTAACTTGTTTCCCTTAAAAAAAAAAAAAAAAATGTTTAAATTTCTTTCGGTCTAAAATATATTGTGATACTTGGCTGGATCAGCAGAGAAGCATTCGCAATCAAGAACTCTGGTGATAGGTGGCCCTTAAAGGACCTGACCACAGAAGGTCCACATTCACCCGATTAAGAATAAGCCATTTATGTTTTGGCCTAATTGACCAAATTACCACCCATTAATTTCAATTAATTATTCTTTTTATGTCTTGGATGAGATTATAAAGCTAGTCATGAGCAGTTTTCAAACCCATGACCTTCGGTTCAATACACCACTGCTCTAACCACTTGAGCTATTGTGACTTCGATTCACCCAGACACCAACTCCCCATCTCAACCTACAACCTTTCGAATTTTCCCTCTTTTTGCCATTTTTCAACCAAGACCTTTTATAAAAAGAATAATTCATTGAAATAAGTAATTTGGTCAATTGGACCACTAAATATAAATGTATTAATATTTAATAAGTAAAGAAGTATCACTTCATTAACAGCTCCCCGTGGCCACTTCGTAAGGGGAGTTGGTGTCTGTATCAAAGTCATGATAGCTCAAGTGGTTAGAGCTGCGGTGTATTGAGCCGAAGGTCATGGGTTCGAATCCCGTTCGTGACACTTAACTTATTCATCTTAACTAAGACCTTACATTAAAAAAAACATTAATGCAAGTACAAATTTTTCTATCTATCCATGGTATAAGACAGGTGTCGATAATTTTCCAATAAATCTGTATTTAAAAATTTAAATTAAATTATTTAAATTTAATTTATAAAATTTTGAAATGTTCTTTGTTATAGATTACATTCAGCTACTCGAAATATAGTAAAGATGAAATGAATGTTGTGAGGATCGACGGATTCGATACCAGGATAGATCCAACAAGGTATATTTAGTCTCGTGTGATACATTAAACTATAAAAGAACTTCATATTAATATATATTATTTTTATTGTTTCAGGTTCCTTTCTCTCCACTGTTATCTATTTCCATATTTTCAGTTTTGCCCTAGGTAGCGTCTACCTAGTCTTGATAAAATGCTCAATATGTTTATAGAAATGACACTATAATTTCTAAGACGAGGAAGTGAGTGTGAAATTGTGTGTGTGTCTGAGTGCGTGTTTTCATTGGTTATTAGTACATAAAATTTATACTAAATTCGTTATCGTTGTTTAGAACTTATAATTTAATTTTTTAACGTTATTTTTATAAATGATATAGATGACACTTTGTGATTATTGTTTTTAGTCCTGATTGCTAGCCATAAATTAAGAATGTGAACTAAGTAGATCAGTATGATTTGTATTATTATTATATTTTTTTAAGCACAAATCTCATTTGTTTTTTGTTAATATTGTATTTCGAATTTATATTTGAGTCAAATAGATGAATTTTTTTTTGTTTATATTATGTACATAATACATTGATTATTGTATATTTTTGAATGGCTGTGATTTTTTGAGTTCGAAACAGTTGATTACATAGTTTATAAAAATTAATGTCAAATTGAATGATATTTTTTACAATATTAACTGTGTGGCTACAATGAAATGTATATATATTATGGAAATGTTTATTTACTTGTTCAAAAGAATCAAACGTCAGCATTTTAATGTTACCCTAACCTGAAACTAGAATTATATTAAATTGTTAAAAAAGTTAGGTTTTTATGTGGCAATAAAAAATCAAATATTCTTGTTTATGTTTCTTTCCTTCATATTTCTTTATAAAATTAAAATAACATGTGTAGTATTTACTGTCCATTAATTAATTATTATTTAGAGACTGTGGTCTGGTGTGACATAGGTTTAGTAAGACTTTATTTATTTTATTATTATTAATTCTTTATTTTTTTCTTTACTCTTAAAAAAATAAAGATAAGATAAAAAAACAAAAAACAAATAACATAAAATAAAATAAAGAAAATGTTTTTCTAAACCTACATAACACCAGACTGCATATCACGAATTCTAAATAATCGTTTGAAATAACTTGGATCACTTATCCCAATATAAATTAAAATAACTTTATTTGTATATTTTTAGAAGTTAATCAGAGAAGTTCGTGCAGTTTTTCATATGTTATTGTTTTAATACTGCTAATCAACATTTGATGTTTACACCCTGTAATACCAAGAGGATAATGCATCAGTTCATGAAAAACAAAAGTTGAAAAGTTCATTGTAAATGTTTTTAAAATTTATTTTTCATGGCTTCAAAACCCATAATTCGTGCATGCTTATTGTATGAATTTTAAGGGTCATAAAATATGCACTGCATTCAGTGATGAAACAATGAGTGCACTGCCCAAAAGTGGCTCAAAAAGTTTGCTTCTGGGAATGAAGGGATTGAAGATGAACCACAGTCCGGTAGGCCTTCTGATGAATTGACCGAAGCTAAACTTGATTCGAGTCAACATGTAAGGAGTTTAGTGTTCAACATAAATTTATAATAAATAATAAGGAAATAATGATACACTAACACCACGATATATGTATGCTGCATTGACAGAGAGGGTGATATGTTTGGGGCACTTAGAAAGAATGTAAGAAGAGAAGTTACCAAGAATATTATATAAGGAAAAGGTGGAAGGAAACAGAAGAAAAGGAAGACTGAGAATCGAATAAAAGAGTGACGTTGAAAAGGCTTTAAAGATGATGAGAGTTGTTAACTGGAGAGAGTTGACAATAAACTGATCCAGATAAAAACTGTGACGGAGCCAAGAGCCATGCAGGCATGTAATGCCAGCTTAAATAAATAAATTACGTAGATATCGTCGCTATTCTCCAATAAACAGAAATTATATAATTTCATTATATAATAATACAATTATATAATTATCGCGAAGACCACTTTTTTAAATCTCACAATTATTTTTAAATTTTATTTTACATGTCTTAAAGCACGAGTAGAATAGAGAAAAAGATGCTGATACAATAGCATTGAAGTGTAGACGAAAATGGTAAATACTGGGTTGTTACATTAGATATTTTTTGCTGAAATTTAATATTTGAATATACTTTAAAGAAAAATATAAAATAAAATAAATAAAGAAAAACCTATATCATTTTCCTTGAGTCGAATATAAGCCCTTTGTTTTTGTTAACCCTACAGATGAACCTAAATATATACAAATAATACTGTTGATGCCAGATTTTTGCCTGCCAAATAGTTATTTATATGAATGTTTTGGGCAAAAGATTTTTAAAATATTTGTAGGAAAAAGTCATTTAAATATCTGCTAGAAGTCATAAAAAAATATAATTATTATTATAATTATTATTATACAAAGCAAACTGTTCAACATACCACGCCCTGTACAAGTAATTAAAACTTAATCTAGGCAGGGGCCACTACACGTCTGATAAAAACAAATGTAGTTCATGAGATATAGTGGGTGATTTGGGGCCAACTGCTGATTTTGAATTTTAGGAGGATGGAAAAACATGCTTGTACAATGTTGGCGCGATGGAAGATATTCTTCATTATGTAGCAGTCAGCCCTGTTCTACAAATTTAGAAATAAATCCTTTGGGAAAAATGTTTTGTTAAGGGAACTCATTCGATACATAAATGGCAAGACTGGTAATGTTTATACTCTTTATTATGAAATGGCTTGGAGCTATAGAAAGTTTTATTGACAATTATACTACTTGAAGGAGAGTATATTGTATATTGTAAGCATTGTAATATGTGTAGTGATTAGTGACATGTTAATCGATAATTACTCAGAAATCGTGAGATGCGGTCTGGTGTGATGTAGGTTTCAGAAAAACTTGTCTTTATCGTGACAACGTTTCGATCTTTATTGAGATCATCTTCAGGGCTCAAAGTGTTTGTCTTCTGTGTAATTGTGCCATTCTTCAAGAATTAGCAAGAGTGCTCTCTCAACACGACACGCAAGAATGGCAAATACTTTGGGACAAACACTTTGAGTGAGTAGAAATACTTTGATTGAATATATAAAAAACAAATATATATATATTTTGCATTGTATAAATTCACTTTTCCACATCCAAAATGTAATTGTTATATGTAAACAATGTATGTAAATCCGAGGCCCTGAAGATGATCTCTATAAAGATCGAAACGTTGGCATGATAAGAAAATGTTTTTCTGAAACCTACATCACACCAGATCGCATCTCACGATTTCTAAATAAATATTTATAAACAAATGTAGTATATATTTAAATGCAAGTGTTATTTGTAAATCAGCTGTAAACAAAACAATGCTTAATCGTTGTTAGTCACTAACTGTTGAATGTTTTTATAACACTAATGAACTGATTAAAACTTACATTATTTGAGCTGATTACTTATATATTTAGTGCAATTAAAAAAAAAGTTTATAGTAAATTTATTTTGTCAGCTATTGGCACCCTTGCAACAGTACCCTACAACTCTCTGTACTATTTTATAATTGGTAATTTTATTATTATAAAACAGGGAATGGCTTGACATAATACTTTCAATACAGAATATGTTTAACTTCAAATACTAGTTTTCGCTTATATATACTGAAAAAAGTAAGTATTTTTTCTCTGTGTTTATTTTGTCTATTTAAGTAATTTTGATACAAGATTGTGACAAGCTGATTTAAAACGTGAAGTTTTATTAATTATGTTATTAAGCTTTTTAATATATTCTTCATAAATTAAGTTAATGTACGTATGTATATATATTTTTAAATACAGAAAATATTTTTTAAATACTTTTAGTGATACTATAAATTAGTAAATGTGCATTGGAAAGATACGACCATCAGCATAGACAGATCAGAACCATCAATTAAAAAAGTTCAACACCTTGCAGACTTCACATTTTAATCACACTTATGTTCAACTGTTGATTGTTTTTATTGGTTATTGTACAACTTTTTAACCAACATTATGTTCACTTTAATATTTCAAGATTTTTATTTTATATTTCATTTCAACGCTATTTTAATATTTCAAGATATTTTATTATTTATTGGTTTTTGCTTTTTTAAGGGAGTGAAATCAATGGAAGACATCAAAGGTGATTTTAAAAAGAAAGGCAGACAAAAATTTCAATGCGCTCTTTGCAGTTATTCCAGTCCTAGGGCAGTCACCTTAAGCAGTCACATGGTGACACACACAGGAGAACTGTTGTTCAACTGTCCAATTTGTACCTTTCCCTGTTGTTCAGAATTGGGCCTAAAGCGTCATTCGAAAATGCATGAAACTGGGGACAATTATTCATGCACCATCTGCGACTATACTTGTTCTAAAGCTGGCTTCTTAAGAATTCACTTGTTGAAGCACAAGAATAACACCATTTATACGTGTACCGATTGTGATTTTGCATGCATCAAGCAAGAAACGTTAAACTCCCACAGAGAAAAACACCATTCTCTGTGTACAAATGGAAAAAATTATTTGTGTTCTCTTTGTGATTTTAGATTCACTGCGCCGAGTCATTTAGTCAGGCATATGATGACACACACTGGAGAAAAGCCTTTTGCCTGTCTTAGATGTGACTACAAGACAACGAGGGCAAGTTATCTTAACAGACATTTATTGAGTCATTTGGGAGTTCGTCCTTTTTCATGTCCAGAGTGTGATTACAAGTGTTCAAGATCAAGTCATTTAAAAACTCACATTATGACCCATACTGGCAAAAAGGCATTTTCATGCCTGGATTGCGATTACTCCTGTGTCACTTCCAGCAGCCTGAGACTGCACATGATGTCACATACCGGTGCCAAACCTTTCATATGTGACATATGCCAGTACTCTTGTAAAACGTCTAATTGCTTAAAACGTCACAGAATGATCCATACTGGAGAAAAGCCCTACTCTTGCCCAGAATGTAATTACAAGTGTATTGAACAATCTAGCATGAATAAGCACATAGAATTACATAGAGGGATCAAACATTTTTTCTGTGACATGTGCAAATACAAATGTAGTAGGAAAGCTCGTTTGATAAAACACCAACGAACCCATTTGAAAACAAGACCATATGCCTGTATCGACTGTTGCTACACCTGCAGCTCTAGTTCTGTTCTAAAAAATCATCTTGACAAATATCACAAGATTGAACCAATAGAACATGATAAAGCGTAATTTTCTTCATTAACAAAGCACAGACTTTTTTAATTGTATAAGATATTTTTACAAATAATTAAAGTATATTTAAAAATGTGTTCACTTTTTAGAATAGTTTTGTTAACACCTCTAGTCTAGTCACCAAAAAAAATTTTTTTAACAAATTGTAAAAATCATTGGTACAGGGGACAAAATATATTAGCACATACCACAAAATATTTGTCGTCTTCAATGCTTTGATGTCTTAAATAAATTATGTAATAAAAGGCAATGTATACAAAATATTAATTTTTCATATAATTGGCATAAATAAAATGCTAAATTTTATAGCAATAGTTAATATAGTTTTTTTAAATGCTGTTTTTCTTCCCATTTTTAAACATATATTTGTTGTAATGGTTTAAGGGGATCAAAGTGGACGACGGTAAGCACATATAACTCATATTTGCCACGCTAGTGGATCTGGATTCAAATCCTGCCAGAGCCCATTGCTTTGTAATTGATAAAAGTTTGAAAATTTATCATAGTGTTTAGATCTATCATGAGACTGAAGTGTACTTGATTGTTAAGATCTCCTCCAGCCAGTATGACAAAATACTTTACTTATAACATTTTCTATACTAGTCTCAAAAGGGAGCATTCCTTCAATTTATACTGCTGACTGGTGCAAAATGTGGAGGACTGAATAAAGAAAATGTAATTGGGAAAAAAAAGAGAGTGAGAGAGAAAGAAAGAAGAGAGATACTGATTTCCATTCAAGTCAAGTATTTAGTACTATACTTTGCTGACTGACATGGAATACCCACACACGCAAGACTTAACAGACAACATAAGATTTGGGACAACTGTGAAGTCTTCTAGGAATCCCTTCCTCACACTTAAGTCCCAGCATTGGCTGTTTTCTCATGGCACATGTCCTCCTGATGTAGTACAAATAAAACAATAAAATAAATTAAATTATTACAAGATAAAAACATTATATTTTTTAAGCCAAAGTGAATTAAATTCCAAGTTAAAACTTGACTAAAAGGATGAGAATGAATAAAATTTGTGACATATCATAGAATAAGTAAATGTTTCATTTTGGCAGTAAAAGTTAGGTAAAACAAAATTTTAAATTGTAGCATAATAACTGTGTTGAGGCATACGATATCAGCCTTAATTAGGAGATAATCCAAACACCAGAGTGGTACTGATTTAACAGAAAAAAAAATCACTACCCACCACTTGCAAGATGAAAAACATTGGAAAAAGATTAACTAAAATTAAAAGAGTTGAATTTATACAATAATGTAAATATTAACTAATTGTAAATAGGAACAAAATAATATGATAACAAGGAAGAAACAAAACTAAGACTAGTTAGGGTTGCTAACTGAACACTGCGAACTCAAGAGGAACATGTATACTTGTATCGAAACAAGCCCGTTTAGATATGGCCAGAAAGATTAAGAGAGTGGAGCATCTTCTGGTGTGATGGTTTTGCGGCTAAGATACCTACTCCTGGGAAGTGAAAAGCCTAACCTGAAGAATATGGGAGTCCTTGAAATAGCTTTAAGATCTGGTAATAAAGCTTGTTCTAAATGAGGAACTCTAGGCAATCCTGGAGATCCACAATATATCAATATAGTTGCCAAAGTTCAGGTCGCATTCAAACCCGACATACTTACATTTACAAGTTGTGGGGTAATAAACTGCAATGCCCAAAATCGCTATATAAATAAGAAATTTAGCTAGAAAAAAAAGTGATATTGTGTTTTAGTTTCTTATTATTGTTATGTAGCATTAGTTTATCTATCATATGGAAGAATAAAAGGATAAGAATGAACTTGAGTTGATAGTCTGACTCCATCATCATTATTATTATTATTATTAGCCATACAAGCCTCTGGGAAATGTTTAAATTATGGAACAAAAATTCGAAATTGTAATTAAAAAAACAGGAATAAATTTTATATATAATTTAAAATGGGATTTTGACATACATTTGGCCTTCCAAATTAAGGATTTTAAAAGGATAAATTAGTTTAAGACTGAATGTTTGGAGTCAGAGCTTTATAGCACTCAGAAGGGATATAGCCAACCTAAGATAGAAAGTTTGGATGTTAGGGTGTGAAATGACCTTAGCCGCTAAAATCCCTTAAAAATTATTAATAATAATAATTAAAGTAAGTATTAAATATTAAGCAAGTAGAAATAAATAATGAAAAAACCTATGCGAGTATAAAAATTAAATAAAATAAACATTAATTTAGTAGTGTTAAATAATGTGCCACTTAGTCAATGGTGATGTCAGCAACCATTATGTGCTTTGTCCGATTGGAAGTGCCAAGTATGATCCTGACATTTTACTCCTCTTGGCAATAGCATAAAATTACATAATGCGTGATGTGATGTTTCACAAACAGAACTGATGGTAGTAAACAACATCTGAACCTCACTTGATGAGGGCTAGCTAATTAGAACTTACAAATAAGAGTAATGATATAAAATATAAATAATATTTTGATTTGTTGGCAAATTTTTTAAACATTTGTGAGATTTCTCCATAGGCATTTTCTGCGAAAACCCAGAATAAAACAAGATGGCGAAATGCCGAAACACATCTCAGACCAAATCAGCAAAGATGGGCGGAAGAAAATTATCAATAATGATGAAACTACATAATTTTGTTGTCGGAACAATGTATGTACATATTAAATTTTAAAAAATGTACAATGTATAAATATACATAATTATGATAAGTCTGTAGTTTCTTATTTATGACAAGTGACAAGCGAGTTTTCTTTCGACGATGGCCTGAAGTGTAACGACCAAGCAAACACCTTCAGAATCCCCTTCGGAGATAAAGAGTTTTTTAACCTTTTGATTTGGCTTAGCGCTTCTCCCATCTTCATCGTTGGTTCTTCGGCCGGTTCTGTCGCCACGATTTCTTCATCTTCGGTACAAACTACTTGAACCATGTTGCTGATATTTATTGAATTATTTTCAGCCTGATACGCTGTTACCCTACCAACCTCTGTACCATCGGATCTCTCTTCAGAGCCGGCCGCTTTCCAAGAAATTTTATGACGGGTTTTAAATTTGTCTAACCATCCCGATGAAGCCTTGAAATCATCGGCATGCAGACTCCAAAGCCTTTTCTCTAATCAAAGGCCCAGAAAGGGGCTGGTTAGCATCTCGAGCTCGACAGAACCATTCATAAGTTATGTTATCAATAGTAAAGCCGATTGTTTTTGGAAAGGATTTTTTATAGTTGCCATTTCCGTTTTGAGACCATTTCACGAGGAAATCGTCCTTTTTACTCAATATATCGCTCACCTGTGACTTTCCAATTTTAAACCTTGCTGCTAGTTTACGTATACTGAACTTTTCACAGGCCCTTACGTTTATAAGTTCAACCTTCTGTTTCAATGTCAAGTGTACGCGGGAGGACATTATCACGGTTGGTATAACTGTCCAGCACTGCCTGGGTGAACACTGAAACGCAACTAAAAAAAATTCCACTTAGCCTTAGGCTAAACACATTCTTTGGAGGGTTGAAAACATGTTCAATTTTTTTTATCAATGGGCCAAAAAGACTGTAACATGAATTTTCAAACATATATTGTTTATATCGTTATGCACATTACAAGTCAGAGTATGTTGATGAATTATGAGAATTTTTTTGGTTTGATGGATCAGAAATTCCAGTGGCGACGGTGAAAATCGAACCCACTACTAGGGAAGTAGCGAGACGAAATTCTTGAGTATGACGAACCATCGAGAGTAAAACACATAACTGATAAAAGTTTAATCAATAGTAAGGACAACAGTTATTCAGATATCGTGAGATGCGGTCGGGTGTGATGTAGGTGTCAGAAAAACATTTTCTTTATCGTGCCAACGTTGCGATCTTTTATTGAGATCATCTTCAGGTAGGACAACGATTCGCCACATGATGTCGTTTGGCTATCCTGTGAACGTCTGAGTACTCTGAGTGAAACCTCTCCCAAAGGTTTCATCTTGTAATTATTTACCTCGTGTACTTTTTATTTGAAACTTCTTTAAAAATGAGTGAAGATAAACCTCAAGTTGAGGAGGCGAAGGAGGCACCTGACAAAACTTTTAAAGATTTAGTAAGTATTACTTAAAAATTTTTGTCATATATTGAAGAAAAATCCAGTTCCAATTGTAATGTAAGACGAGAATTTTACTCATTACAATAAATGTCAAGTAAAACCTTTATTATCTATATATTAAAATCTTTACTAGTAAAACCTACTGTTTGGCAATTGGTTGTCAAACTTTTACATCATCATCAAGTAGACTAACCATGCAACATAACATGGTGGACGTGCTAACAAAAGAAGCTGTTTATAAAATGCCAATGTAAATATAAAGGGTCCTGTAGACAGAAAGTAAAAGTGTATGCATCCATAGAGCTAGACCATGGTTCGCGTTTTCCTTGCATGAATAAGCCCTGTTTCATTTGAGGCAGTTGTTAGTAGCAATGCTTTCTATGGTGAATTAAGGATAGGAATAAAAGAGGCGGACACAGCCTTCTGCACCTCGACCTGAATAGATCTATTGTGCTCCCCTGTTTTTATAACTCACTGGCCAGCTTCAGGTTGTTAATTAGCCTCTATAGCCTTACCGGCAGCTCCATTGTGTAGAATCTAGCTTGTAGTTTGTCTTGTTCCAGTTGCAAGAACCTGCACATACAAAGACCTTCACTGAAATATAAAATGTGTTCTGCGGTTCCTCCTCTTCCTGGCAGTATCTCCACAGTGTTTCTTCTGTCTGTACTCCAATCCGGTGCATGTGCTTTCTTAAGTGGCAGTGCCCTGTCAGGAGTCCAACCAGAATCCTGGTTCGGTTGTGGTTGCCTCCCAGTAATTGTTTTGTAAGTTTTGCGAATGGTCCTTCTATGAATCTCTTTGCATACCTCATACCTGAGGTATTGTTCCACCAGGTTTTGGACTTGTTAAGGATCCATTTTAAGATGTATCCTCTTTTGTGGTAGGATGCTAAGCCAGTAGGGTTCAGGACTCACAGAATCCATGTTAGCCCCCTTTTCACCCATGACTACACATCAAGGAAGCTGTTAAATTACGGTTCTGTAGTGCGGTAAGAGCAATAAAACAATCATCTCTAACCGTCACACATGACTATTGACCTCTAATTTCTCTCCGATTGAGACTTCCGTCGGCCCTAAACCATTGTAGACCATCGTCGATATCGACTTGGTGGCACAAAACAAAACAATCACGAAATGTCCATAATCAACGATGCATTCATTAAGGATGGAAGAAATCAGCATTTCATTGCGCTTTAGATTTGCCTAAAACAACAGTTGGACATTCTGTGGTACCAGGACATTGCAAGGTGTACTCTGAGACTAGGATTGGCCCAAGAGCCAAGGGACCAGCTGACGACAGATTTACAAGATTTCACACTCTGAGGCATCATTTTTCCACTGTCTCTGAAATGTCTCAAAGACTTAGAACTGTGCGAGATGTATCCATACAAAGCTAGAATGTGTTAGCGCTGAAACAATACAAAGTAGACATGCAGAAATGAATCTACATCCCAGAAGCAATGGGTTCAGTGCTTAGGAGAGACCATCACCGGGACTGCTTTGGAGTTTGCAGTGTACACTGACATTAGACAGAAACTGTAATTATGGAATGTTACGTTATCATCCGAATTCCAGTTTTCTTTCCATACACCAGACGGTCGTCTTTGTGTTTATTGAGGGGCTGAAGAGCTCTACACCCAATGCCTGACGTGTGCACTAACAATTATTCTTCTCTGAGACAAATGAGACAAGATACAGTATATCTCATGGTACAATAAATGAAAGTTGTAGTTCCAGTAAGTAATAAGGAGAGCGACCACTCGTTGAATCCTGCATGTGCTAATGTGGCTTCCTCTTTATCTGCTCCACTCCAAACTAAATCCAAAAACAAGTGGGCCAGCACTTAGTGCACCACACTAGCAGTTCCATACCACCTGGCCTCATCAGACTCTGACATATTTTCTAGTTTATTGGCCTTATGATCTTTGCATATTAGCCATGACGAATTCTTATATATGTTGTTCAAATTGGGGGTTATCGGGAAAAAAGGGCCAGAGGCGACGGTGGGAATCGAACCCACGACCGCGGCGTGAGAGTCTCTCATGCTAACCACTCGGCTACCGCGGTCCCCATATTTTCTATTTTCATTCATGGAAAAAATTAATAAAATGCCGAGTTTTGTACGAGAGTAATTTTTGTCATACAACCAATTATCTATGACGGGAATTCCATGTAACAACATGACTACCACCTTCACCATGATGGCGGAGAGTAGCATCTGGCAGTCAGTCAGGCCAGGTGGTGGGTATCCAGGGGCTCTAGGCATGTTTGTCCACAAACAGTGGGTATGTGGGCTTTTCTGTAATGGTTTGGATGCAATATAAATGGATTTTATCCACACCCCTCAGCACTGTTTGTTAAAATAGAACAATGGGAAAATGGTAATGGAATAGAGTGCCTGGCTGTCCACCCTGAGCTTGTTTTGGTGAGCTTTGCTCCTTCATCATCGGGCTTTCCATGGTTAGATGTAGTAATATAAAGCAAAAAAAAAAAAAAAACATGCAAGACTAAGAATGGTTCACAAAACTATAGACCTGTAAGATTAATTCCACTGTTCTATGCTACACAATACAGTATATGTTGTTTTCTATCTTGTTGAAGTCTTTAGTAGATGAATTTTATTCAAGGATTGAATCATCATTAGCATGACTATACAGTAGAAATTTGCGTACAGTCTACTTAATTACTTACTACAACTAAAGAAAATAAAACAATGCATCGGTCAGTTGAAAATGATTGGAAGCAACCAAGTGAGTAACTACTGTATATTATATTAATTATCTGGTGGTATGGACAGTTATTGTATGAACGTCTTACATCACTTCAGGTATGCTGAATGGGCATAGGGTCATGTATTGGGTCTGTCTTCCCTCAAATGCATTTTGGCACACCATCTTCAGTGAGGAACTACCCCTATGCCAGTCCTACATGAGTTCACCAACTCGCAGATTAACTCAATTGGGGTAGTTCAAAAACCCATACTAAAAATGTTTGATACAAAACCATGTCGTGGTGAAATATTCTTTCCATTGTTGTAAAATTCAATAGAGAGATTTACAAAAAAAAATTAAATTGAGTGGAACTAAAATTTATACAATGTTTTTAATCATATTAATAATAAAATAAATTTTTTTGGAGGTCTTAATTATTGAGGATATGATCTGAAGCGCATTCAGATTTATAACCTGAATAATTTCTCATATTGCCAATTTACTATATGTATTTAATCTTTATAGGGTGTTGTTGATGTGTTATGCGAAGCTTGTGACTCTTTGAATTGGAAAAAGCCCACGAAAATACAAAGAGAAGCAATACCAATAGCCTTAGAAGGTACATCACGGTCAATTATGCTACATAATTATCTTATTCATGCTTATTGTACATTGCAGGAAAAGATGTCATAGGACTAGCAGAGACAGGCTCTGGAAAAACTGCCGCATTCGCCATACCAATCCTTCAATCGCTTTTAGACAATCCTCAGAGGTATTTTGCGCTTGTACTGACACCTACTCGAGAACTTGCCTACCAGATTGCCGAGCAGTTTGAAGCACTTGGTAACAAGTTTGTAATTATAAAAATATTTAACGATAATAATTTATTTTTTGTTCATATTTAGGTGCAAGCATAGGTGTGAAGAGTGCCGTAATAGTCGGTGGTTTAGATATGATGTCACAGGCTTTAACCTTAGCGAAAAAGCCCCACATCATAATTGCCACACCAGGGCGGTTAGTTGATCATTTGGAAAATACAAAAGGATTTAATTTGAAGGCTTTAAAATTTTTGGTAATACTTTTCACATTTCCCATTTTTTCATTTATAAGATTTTCAATTTGCAATTAATGATTAACTCCAGAGAATCATGCAATTATCATTATATTTATTTATTTATTTTTTTTTTTAAGATTACTATTATAATGTTAAAAGATTTCCAAGTTTGTATGTAGAATTGTTTTTAAGGTATACAGAGTGATCGACATTTCTTATTACCCTAGTTTCAATGATTTGGTCGATACCTTTCACCATTCACAAATGTATAAAAATAACACAAACCCACCACTGAATATGGTGAGAGGGGCGTCGGTGGCCGCAACGGTTTAGGCGTTGCCCAATCAGGACAGTTAGTGTGATATCACACTCTACTTTTCACTTTTAGTTTCACGTTCATAGAAGCAGAATGCTGTGTTATTATTTTTAATGCTTGTGGGGGGGATGCTTTACACTGTTTTAAGCAACACACTGTCTTTTTGAGCATGTCTAAAAGTGAAAAGACTATAGCACAATTGCAGTGCTTACACACACTTACAGTACCTGAGTAGAAGAATCGATAAGCAGGCCACCAGTGTGATTAGGGGAATCAAGTGATATCAGCTCCCTCTCCTGAATGGGTTAAATAATTAATATTGATTTTTTCTTCTCTGAACAAAATAATTCTATCAATCAAGGCATGGAACATACCTGATGCAACATAACGTGATGTGGCTCAATGCCTTAACACATGATGGGGGGGGGTTATGCACAAGCACTTACTATGCGTCACAAGAATAATTGGCAGCAGCAGCAATCTGCTCATTTTCAGCAACAAACAAAAAAACTGGTGTTCATGAGGTGAAGATCATAGGATTGGCCTGGGGTGGCACTACATCATGTGACATTGTGTTGCATCAGGTGTGTTCCCCATTTCAACGGAAATCTATGGGATCATAGATTTGTTGGTATACATCAGTAATTTTATTTTTCCCTATTTTGAAATAAACATACATGTATATTTAATATTAGTTGGTTAATTTAGGCATAATTTACTACAAATTATTTCCATTCAATTAGAACAAATAAAAACTAACCAACTGTGAAGTCCATTTTTTAAACAATATCAAATTGTTTTTTTACAGGTCATGGATGAAGCTGACAGAATCTTGAATATGGATTTTGAAGTGGAAGTGGACAAGATTTTGAAAGTTATACCACGTGATAGAAGGACATTCTTGTTTTCAGCTACAATGACAAAAAAGGTGCAGAAATTGCAAAGGGCGTCATTGAAAAATCCCGTCAAAGTTGAAGTTTCAACAAAATATAAAACAGTAGATCAGCTTCAACAGTATTACATTTTCATTCCTGTAAAATACAAGGTTGATAAATAGTAATAATTTCAATAAAATTAATTTATTATTTAGTTATTAAATTTATATTTATATATTAAATATTTTGGCTTTTGTAGGATGTGTACTTAGTACATTTAGTAAACGAACTAGCAGGAAATTCAATCATGATATTTTGTTCAACGTGTCATGGAACACTCAAAATGGCATTGTTGCTACGAAATCTTGGGGTTTCAGCTATCCCATTGAACGGCCAAATGTCACAAAACAAGCGTTTAGCTGCTTTAACTAAATTTAAAGCTAAGAGCAGATCTGTTTTAATTTCAACAGATGTCGCTAGTAGGTGAGTTACCACTTTTAAACAAAACACCGAATCAACCCAATCTAAAAATCACATAAACTCATTCTGCTTTCAGGGGTCTGGACATCCCACATGTAGATGTCGTGATCAACTTTGATATTCCGACTCACAGCAAAGATTACATTCATCGAGTAGGAAGAACAGCAAGAGCTGGAAGATCGGGAAGAGCTATAACATTTGTAACACAGGTATATAAAACTCTCATAAGCACTTTAAATATTAATTAGATATGCTCTACTGTTTTTTTTAATTTCCATATCAGTACGATGTTGAGCTATATCAAAGAATAGAACAGCTGATAGGAAAGAAACTCCCTCTTTATGATATCCGAGATGAAGAAGTCATGTGCTTGGAAGAAAGAGTAGCCGAAGCAAAACGAACAGCAAACGGGGTAATTTTTTTTACTTTTTATTCTTTTTACAAATATATTGTATAATCACAAGTTTAATTTTTGCAGCAAGCGAAGGATTTAATGGAACTCAAAACATCAAAGAGAAAACACGGTGTGGACAAAAGCATGGAAGATGACACTGAAACATCATTAGGAATTAGAAAACGATTATACAAAAATCAAAACAAAAAAAAGAAATTTACTAAAAGAAAATGATAGGTAATGCTTTATTTACTGTTGTTCAGCAAATACTCTTTTTAAGTTGTAAATCATCAGTTATTAAGTTTATTTGTAAATTTAATGGTTTTTGTAATTTCTATTTACTTATTTCAGAAGACTTCCAATATATTGTAAAAATAAAATTTATTTTTTATCTTAGTTTGTTTTTCATTGAATTTTCCTTACATGAAATAATATCCAAGGCAACCGCAGTAGCCCAGTTATCAGTGTGTTAAGACTTTCAGCAGTGGACCCCACGGTTGCGGGTTCCATTCCCACCGTTGCCCCTGGAAGTTTTTTTTTCACGCTTTTGTTGGGAGTATACAATTAATTAATCACATTCTCTGATTCTCCTTTTAGCTAATATTGAATAATATGATCATTAAAAAAATGTATTGATAAAGTTTATATGTATATACACCATATACCTTATACAAGCTCAATTTATCTATCAGTTTTGAAATGCCTATATGAATAGCTGAAGTGTCACTCAAGTAAAAAACCTGCAAATCTACAGTACCTCAAGTAAAATATTATAAAGAAGTTGCTTTACAGTGTGATTTTGTTATGTATAATAGCGAGAACCCTTGGGGATCTACATCTTGATGGAGCTATAGTTTTGAACTGATCAACAATGACTAGGTCCATTCTCGTGGTTTGTTTCACTTCGGGATTGAGCATATTTTTCTTAAACGTGTTCCTTTTGTAAAACAATGTTTTGTGAAATTTCAGCAAACATAGTCTGTCATGGCGATTTTTTTTTTTTTTAAACATGAAGTGGCCTACGGAAAAAGCACTTTTCATTAAAAGATGTTATTTGAAGATTTTCACATGGCATCTTGCTTGTGCTTGGTTATGGACTAATATAAAAATCTCACCAAGAAGAAAATGGTTACTGAAGAGCTGTCTAAAAAATATGAATTGTCAGTGACAAAAGAGCATCCTCAATTTCAAAACAGCATAAAAAATTAATCAGATGAAGAACAATGGGGATCAGCATATTCAGCAACTATTGAGGAACGAGGCATTCAAGTGAGTACAGGCGACTAAGTCTCTGGATGTCTATATACATTGTATGTCTACATATATATACAGACAATCACTCAACTTTGTATTGTTCAAGGCCTTACATGTTCTATTGCTGGCTAACATACACACCACTGAAGACGGAGAGAAGCCAAAACATGACTAACATTCAAAAACAGCAAGGACAGGGAGATTAAAATATTCTCTGTGAAAATGTCTAAACTACAACAAGCATATTGTTAAATAATGAATGTCATGAATATGATTAATTTGTACATATGTATGCAAAAAAATTGCCACATATTAAAATTTAACTAAAATAAATTCTACATGACCTGCTAAAATATTGTTTGTTTTTCTTTAATTCTGACATACATTGTACACATATTTTGTAATAATATAAAGATTTTGATTAAAAAAAGTCTTATTGTTAGTTCAATTTATTTATTTATTTTTTATTTGTTTAAGTAAAATGTATAAGCTATATTATATATATTATCCAACAATTTGAAAACAATTATAGTTTATAGAGGAATAGTTCTATACAAAACTTATAAAAACATATACACAGATTTATAATAAAGTTAATCTTCCCAATCATCATCGTCATCGTCAGGATCATTGGCAGGTTTAGGAATGAGGATAGGAATCTTTGCCATCATTTTGTCAAACATGCCATCAGGATTGTCATTTTTGCCAGATATCCCTTTTCTTCGCATTGAAAGTTTGGCATGTAGGTCGTCCATTAGACTATTGCCAGAGGGAAGTTTGGACTTTGCCGTGGTAGATGGATCACTGGAAGAGACACTTTTCAGTTTGGCTTTTCCGCTTCCTCCCGCTTGTCTAATGGCTTCCATCAAATTAGCTCGGGCGTCGGATTCTTGAGATCGGATTACCTTGGTGTTTGCATTGGAGACGTTTCCTTCTGGGATGGAAAACTTTTCAGTTTTGATTATTTCTGTTTCTTGAGGTGGTGGTGGAGGAGGGGGAGGTGGTGGTGGCGGCGGCGGTTGAGGGGGTGGCACTTCTTGCACCAGCACCGTCTCTTTTATTGTTTCTAATTTTGGCAGCTCGTCAAGTAACTGTATCGGCTCTTTGTCTTCCTGTACATCATTCGTCGAATCGTTATGATCAACATACTGAAAACTGTCTGTATTATGCGAATCGACATTAAACTGAAGATCATCGGCGATTCCCGAGAGATGAGGCAGATTCTGCGGAGCGTCGATTTCCGGAAGATCTTGAACAGTAGGAGTGTAGAAATAATTCTGGTTGTATCTGTATCCAAATGGCTCGTTTGAGGATATCGAAATCGGAGCCGGTTCGATCACAGGAGCCACATTTTTTACATTAGCATCACTATTCATATTAACGGAGCTAAGAGGATCGAGGAACTTATACTGCGTATACATATTCTGTGCGTTGTTGAAAAGTAACAACGAACTGACACTTTTAATGTTATTGGGCAACGGGCCGAGACCAGTCAATGGAGTTATCTCGTCATTCATCCTCATACGAACGCTACTTTCCTTAACATGATAAAAATTGAGCTTTTCTTTCAGGGACAACTTGTCCAGAGGAAGCTGTGTATAATGTATTCTGATATTTTCCTCTTTAGGCAGTTCAGGACTGATGTATTCGTACTTAAAATAACTATCAGGGTATGGAACTGGGTATTTGTAGCTAGAATGGACTCTAATTGATTTGTTGATTCCTTTCAGCTTGTCCACCTTGTCAGCCACCCTGTGACACCTGCTCTGCAAGCTTTTTAATTTGGCCTTCTGCTTTTCGATATTGCTCTCGACGTTTGTAAAAGCGTTATTGACTAGATTCTGCAACGAGTCTAAAGCGTATGCTATTTGAATTATCGTCTCTTCATGGCTTAAATCCTGTTGGATCAACGGCACCACTTGACGTTTCTTCATTAGAACTCACTCCTTCCTCGGCAGAGAACAAATTTAATTAAATTACAACGGTAAATGGCGAATAAATACCTCTTATCAAAGCGTCTGTGAATCATTTAAGAAAGTCGAAGTGGACATCACTATTCCTAAACCTCCACTATTTGCCATTCTGATAAACGTTCCCGCGGTTTACGATTCTATGTTACGCCAGTGCAAACTAATTTGATAATTTTATCAAAACAAATTATCTTCGGTAATACAAAAAAACTCACGAACCACCAGTTGATCGATAATGATTTTAAAAATTGTGCTACGTCTTTGCATTCTATTAATTATTATTGTGTGCTATATAATTAGCACAACAAAATTCGAATTGTACACGATTTACAATAAATTAGTAAAAATTCATGTATATGCATTAAAAACAAATATGAACACATCAGTATACAAAGATTTTTTTCAAAATTACTTTATTTTATCAGTAAAACTGATAAAATAATCGATTTTAAATAATAACAATCAAATAAGGAGAATGTTTACATATGACATTATTTATTAGTATTTTGAGTTTTTTTAATTTTTTGAATCGTTGGGGAAAATTCCGCAAGGTTCGTCGCTCGCTTTTTGCCCATAGGGCGGTATGTGATTGGTTAATCGGATAAACAATAACAACGTAGAAATCCGAAGTGGCCGATTCGTTCCAATTTTATTGTTAATTAATTTCCAAGGTTCTAAACTTTGTTAATAAAAGTTCGAAGCCTCGTTTCGACTAGTCCGTGATAAAGAGAATCAAGTAAGTGTAAAAGCTGTCAAACTGTGATAAGAGTGTGCTAGTTAAATCGCCGGTGAAGTGCTGAAACGACTGCTATTCAGTAGGATCTAGGTCAAAAACGAATCTAATTTGTTCGGCGAGTCGATTTAGGTACGTTTCGATAAAACAGTAGCCGGTCTCATGGCAAAACGTTCGAACAAGCCGTTTGAAGACTTCGATATCACTAAACAAGAGCTGAAACAGATCGGCGAGGCTTTTAAGAAGAGAGAATTCGTCGAACTTTTCGCCGAATACGCCAAAGAAGTCAACGATCCAAAGAACAAAGCTTTGTACGAGAGTGAGATCAAACAGTTGGAGAGGGAGAGAGGAAACGAAGTTACTTTCATCCACCCTGAGCCTGGGTACGTGGTAAAAACGAGCGTAGATGGATGTCAAAAGGCATTCGTCAACATTTGCCACAGCGAGCACATTCAAAGGCCTTCTGCTGAGCGTACGGAACAGGACGGCACCGTGGGTCTCACATGGTCAGTTCCGTACACGCACGTCAAAGGTCGGGTGGATTTCGACAAGAAGAACAACTATTGCCAGTTTTTCGATGTCGTCTTCCACCCGGACAGCATCCACCTCGCGAAGAAGAACGGCCAGTTCAAGCAGCTCGTCGAAGACACGGCACTGTCTGCAGTCGAAGACATCAACGGGGTCAAACTTGACAGAAAAAATTTAAAATACCCGAAAGCCGGCTATAAAGGGCCGCCTCAGACGTCTGTGATAAGGAAAAAGATCAACAGGTCCGGTGAAGATAAGAAGGCCGTCGAGGAAGAAGCGCCATTCCAGATTCCGAATTATCCGTATCCCGACATAGACAAAAACGAAAAGCCCAAACATTCCACTCCTAGGCGAACCTTTGAGGGCAAAGACAGCGATCCGTACACGACGCCGGTTTACGTCCTCAAGCAGAGAAAGAACGTCGAATATGAAGAATTCACAAATGCTTTAGACGCAAAAGTCAATTCTTCTATACCCAATGAGCTCGTTGTCGAGATTGAACTGCCGCTCGTCAAATGCGCCGCTGATGTAGAATTGGACATCGAGGGAAAGTCGCTCTCTCTCCTATCAGAAAAATCTGCCAAGTACAAATTAAAAATCGACCTGCCATATTTTGTCGACGATGACAACGGTTCTGCCAAATTTGATAAAGAAGAGAAAAGACTCGTCATTACATTGCCTGTGAGGAGGAAGGCGTTTCACATAAATGATTTTGTCAAAGAAGACAGTGGAATCGAGAGTGATCATACGCCTGCGAATAAATCCTCGAGCGAAGAAGATCTGAGTAAAGACATCGAAATTATATCTTCAACAGAAGCCCTTTCCATTTGTGAGAGTGATGACACATATCGGACTAGTGAAGAAGTTAAAAGTGATTTTCTGAAGAAAGACCGCCTCTACATGTTTCCACCATTCACGATATCCCATTCTGGATCTTCGATCTCCTTTAATTTAGATATTAAGAACGTTGAACCTTCCAGTGTCGAACATCAGTTTCATCCCAACGGTGATGCTGTCCATATGAGCTTTGCGTCTCTAGGCTCCGGCTGTTTTCCGTCTTATTACGCATTTTTTTTCAAACTGCCTGATACATCTCTGGACACTTCCTCCCTCAAGGTGGAAGTATGGGACAACACTCTAGTTGCTAATTTGAGCATAAGTTGTCCTACTCATTTTGTCCTCTCGTCTTACTTTGCTGGTCTAAATTCTGAAAGCCTTAAGGAATATTATATAGATGAACATTTCCAAACAATTCCAAGTACATCAGCTGAGGTAACTAATCATTCCAATTACAATTATAATTACTTTTTGGTGTAGCTAAAGTTAAAACGAGAAAAAATAATTGTACAATTTTTGAATGGTTCTTACTAATAAAATTGTAGTCAGGATTTCTCATATGCGCAGGCTTTCGTATCAAAATCAGCATTTTTTCACTTATTTAGGAAATTTAGGACAAATTAACACAAAAAAATTTATTAGACTATTTTCATTTTTTTATTTTTTATTGTTAGGATGAAAAAGAAGACAAAATTGAAAGCTCAAATGAAGAGAAACCCGAAATTTCCAATAATTCTTCAGTCAAGGAATCATGTGATGAAGGGATTGTTTCAATTTCACCCTCAGATAGTGAAACATCGCCTCTTGTAAGTATTTTCTATTGGTTTTCATACTTTTTACATGATATGTACACTGATGGATAAAATTAATGCACCACCCTACCTTAAATTTTAATGTATTTAGGTTTATTCATATTTTGCCTACCAAAAGTGGTTGTAAAAATAAGATTTAAAAAGAAAATGTTTATTACCTAATTATTGAGTTAAAAAAAAAAATTTTAAAAACTGTTTGTCATGAATCACGTCCGTTAAACGCCTTTGGACTCTTTGGAAAAGATTTCTGGTAAAATCTTTCTTTCCCATTCATCAAGAACAGCCATTAACTCTTCTGGGGTGCTAGGATCTGGGTTGGTCCTAAATAGTCTGATTGGGTTCAAATCTGGACTTCGAGCTGGCCACCAAGCATTCAATTCCAACTTCATTCTGTCATCTGCAATAAGGGCCTGGCATTATCTTGCTTAGCAAGAATCTCTCATCGATGTGGGGGTGAATCGCACTACATCTTCCTTGCACCGGTGCAGGCGTCCAAGGAAATGCCACCCCACAACATCAATGACCCACTGTGGAATGCCACCTGAGGAGCCATACGGCATGGGGCGTGCCTTTCTTCTGATCGTCTCCGTATGAAATTGCACCCATCTGAAAATTTGAGACTAATTCTCGCCACATTTTTAAAGAGAACTCATCTTCTAATCTATTCATCATATGAATATCTTCCAATATTCATATGTCCTCGTTTAATTGATGCCTGACCATTTTCTGAGTTGTGGTAAGAAGAGGTCCACGAGACAGCAGCTAGGCCCTGAGGTTATTTTCATTGAGCCTTCTTTTTATAGAACTGGAGGAAATTGAAACATTTTGGACTTATCTTATCAGATTTCTTATCTCATTTCCTGTAATGCTGCAGTTTCAAAGAACCTGATGATGGAAAAATCTATCATCTCTCTCATCCGTAGACCTAGGTCGATCCTATCTTAGCCTACTTGAAGCCCTATTTCTCTGAAGCTCTGAAGAACCCTTTCTATTGAAGAATGATTAACAGTCTCCTGGCGATTTCATGCTCGCTGCATCCTCTAATAATGTTATGACCGTGACACTCATACTCACTCAAATGCCTGACTGGAGCCATTGAAAAAGGTTTAAGAATAAGAATAATTTCAAATGAAATCAACAAAGGAAAATGTTTACTTGATAATGATCTTTAGGCATTGCTTTTTGTTCAAATGGGATTAATCAGTAAATAAAGGAAATGAACAAAACCTTATTTACTGTATATTTTGACTACAATAGCTCCTAATAACCTGTGACTGTAGTGGAAAGCTAATGGATTTAATTTTAAACTAAATAAATTAAGTGGTGTGTTGAATTTGTCTGTCAGTGTATTTTAAATTTCTAAAAGTTCATTAATCAATAAAAGATAACATTTTTTCTGTAATAAAAATAAAAAAGGAGTTTGCTTCTTTAAAAAGATAAAATAATTTATAGGCTACTTATAATTCTGACAAAGGTGATTCCTTCAGCAGTATAGCCGGTAATCTAAGCGCGTCGAAGAAGAAACTTGCTCCCAAGGCTAGAACTTTTTCAGAATCAACATTGGCGCCTTCAGACGATGTATGTTCTAATTGAGCAAACAATATGCATATTAGTAATTCATTGCATCTGCATCCAACCTTGGCTTAATCCGTACATATTGAAGTTGAAACTAATAGTTCAATAAAGTATTTATTTCCTTTCATAGCTCTTGTTTTTGCACTTATCTGAAGCACTTTTAGTTTTCTAAACTAATAACATCATTATATTTACATATTTAATTTTTATTTATTACTAATAGTTTCATAAATCTACTAAAACAAGAAGAAAATTAGATTATTATTACCAATTTTTAAATGAAGGTTGCAGGGCGAAGAAGCATTTTAAAAAAGAGTCGAAGTTTATCTGAATCTCATAGTGAAGATTATTACAATTGGTCATCTCTTGACTCTGAGGACAATAACTTGACTAAAAAGACTGTACGCTTCAGTGATATCATATCAAAAAAGATATTCAGGTGTGTATTCAGTAAAAAAAAAAAAAAACTATAAAATTTAAAACAAAAATTGTGTAGTATGTATGCAAAAAACATTAATTTTTTTTTAATTACAAAAAAAGTTTTTTAATCTTAACTTTCAGGCCGAATTCAAGCATTCTTGGCCAAAGGAGCAAGAACCAGAAGAAGTCTAGAAACAAGAAAAAGGCTATGGATAAGAGGAGGAGCGAATCGTCTGAAGCTGAATCCGAGTCATACTCAGAAATGTCAGAAGTGTCTGATCTATCCGACGCCACGGATATTTCCGAGTCCTCTGACGATAATTCAGCACCTCCGCCACCTATGGAAGGAGGCAAGAAGCACCGAAGAAGGGGGTCGAAAAACAGGAGAAAAAATGCAGCTTCGGCCAAACAGAACTTTATTCTGTGCGAGGATTAACTTCAAAACAGGGTTTTTTTACTAGTTCAGTTATGTACAAAAAATCTATATATATAAAAAACTGGAGCCAATAAAAAGTACATACACCCAGTGAGATATATCATTAGTATAGTACAAGTAAATTAATTAGTGGTAATTCATAGGCATACAGAAATGCAAATTAATTTAGCTTAATTATAATTCTGTATGTTTAAATATTGAAAGATAAAAATGTTCAAACAAATACCATTGACTGTAAGCTACACTACTTAATAAAATTGCATAAATACTATAAATAGACTGGGTGAAATATAAAAACCAGTTATGATATTTCAGCTGAAGTAATTGTGATTTTTGACTGCTTTAATTAAAATTGTGTTTTATATCATTCAATAAAAAATATCTAATGAAATATAACAAACTTTTATAATGTTTGTACACATAATAAGTAGTGAAGTAAACACATTTGAAAGAGAAATATGATTTTCTTTTTTTCACTTTTGAACAATAAAAAAAAACCTTATTTTGAGTGCCATTTATATACAAGATTGATTTCAGGATGACAATATTAAATTTGATTGATTAAAATAAATTCCCAAATATAAATAAATAAGACTTTTATTCAAAAATAAGTATTATTTGTTATTGATTATTTGGAGATGGTGAGATGCGGTCTGGTGTGACGTAGATTTTAGAAAAACATTTTCTTTATCGTGCCAACATTTTGATCTTTATTGAGATTATCTTCAGGGCCTGGGATTTATAAACATTGTTTAAATTTTACAAATTCTTGTAGGATGTGAAAAAAAATTAATTTATGCAGTGCTAGAAATTCATTTTTTTCATATCCTACATGTTTTTATACATCAATAAAGATCAAAACGGCACGATAAAGAAAATGTCTAAAACCTACGTTACACCAGACTGCTGCATCTCACCATCTCCAAATAATCATTAACTAACGGTCACTAAACACCACACACAGTATTATTTGTGTACAATACATACTATAGAAATATGCAATTTTGGAGTTATTATTATTATTATTTTTTTTGTAAATTTGAAATTACTCCCAAGATAAGGGCCTCTCAATCTCTTTCCATTTGTTCCATTTCCTTTATGCTTCTATTTCTGGCATTTCCCTGCTAATTTTCCTATGTCCCCGGTGTTGTTTCATTTTTTTCACCGATTCCACAATATTAATTGAAGCGAATGAGAAAAAAGTAGCCTATACAACTAATGATTTAAGCAAAAAGAATATGTCCAAGCTCTGATCATAAAGAAAGATTTGATCATCGTGCCAATGTCAAAACAATCCTTGACAATGATGGTTTAATAATGACTCAAGTGGATCTGTAAATAGATTTATTGAAAAATGATAAACACAAGTTGGAGCTGAACATTAATGTACGCACTATTTTAGGATACATAGATTGTAGAAATGGTGTTTTAAGTGTTGCTGCTTGCAAAAGACATTTTCTAATAATTAAATTTTGCGAATAATAAAGATATTTTCTGTTGTCAAAAATGCTCGTTTTTAGGTGCTTTTTTTCGTTAATAAATATTGTTCCTCCCTTTCTAAAATAATTTTTTTTTAGTCAATAATTCTATCAATAAATTTTAAACATACAGAACCACTTAGTTCGCCCTAAATTGTACAGGTGCTTTAGAATAGCATAATGAGATAAGGAGGTTGATAAGCATTTCTCAATTTTTAGCAGTAGCCAGTAGGCTTTCCCGCTGTTATACACCTTGCAGTCTATGTTTGGCCGTAATAACTATCTGAAATTTCAGATTTACAGTCTGTCATGAAATATGTTTTGGATCGGTGAAATCGTCTTCGTCTGTTTGATAGTTTATTACTTCGTAACACGGTGTGTGAAATCGTCAGGAACGGTTTTTTTCTTCTCTGTAACGATTTCTTCCCTACTGACAGCTGCTTATGTTTTAGCATCTTGCCGTGGTTTCTGGCATGGATTATAACGAGGTGTTATCGCATAGACGCGAAAATCGGCCGAATGCGATTCCCATATCTCACATTGCATGACATCCATTTGACGACCAATGGATACACAATTGTACGTACAATTTGACATCGTCAAGTACAGTCGATTGGAGATTGTTTCCAACTAGCCATTATTTTTTTAATTTTCTGCCAATATCTATATTTAACCCATCAGCATCAAGGATAACAACATATCATTTGCAAAATAATTCACATAGTGTACAGAGGATATTCCCCTTTCTCGACGTCAGCCCGTGACTTTTGAGCAATTTAGCTGGGGAATTGTTTAGAATTTTTAAAAATCTAATTAATTATCAGGAACAATTATGTCATTTAAAACTAAATTAATTTAAAAAATCTAAGATTAACTAAATTGATTTATGATTTTTATGTAAAGTGTGGTTGAGGTGAAAAATTAGTGTCATGAGCTGGACTCGAACTCATGCCGGGAGGTTGTGGGTTCAAGTTCCGCTCATGACACTAAATATAATTACATACTAATATAATGATATTTCAATATTAATACTAACCCACACAAGTTAAATATATTTCATAATTTATAATCTAAATATAGATATTAATATATGACATTTCAATATTAATGCTACACAAATGAATTTCATGATTTATGTATGTATTAACTAAGGTAGAGTTGATGATGGGTTTTGGTCTGCAAGTTGGTGAAGTCATGTTGAATCAGCACAGGGTCATTTACTGGGTCTGTCAACACTTGCAGTTTTTTTGAGTTATTCAGACGTGTTCCGGCATTGCACCGACTTCAGTGGAAACTCTTCAACTCTTCACACCCAGCAAGTGACTTGTGCCAGTTCAACATTTTTTTAGTTAATGATGTAAAGGTGATTGACCAGTTCAATTCAATTATATATTTGATAGGATCGGGGATGTGGTCCAAAGAAATAGAACATTCATTGTTGAAACTACTTGTCAGTGATATTAGTTTGTAAACTGTGCCATGTATTTATTTATTAAAAAACATTGTATTTAGTATAAAAAATAAGAAATGATAAAAAGAGACAAAAAAAAGTTTTATACGTGTTGATAAAAGAAAACAATTTTAAATACTGACTATAAGTTGCGAAAATAAGTTGATTGTTGATTTTCACTCGCACAGATGAGTAATTATAAAATATATGTTTATATATCCATTGTATTGCCCTAAAGAAGGTGAAATAAAACACCGAAACCTTGGTGCAGTTTCAACACAAGAACATTCATTGGACCACATCCCCGATCCTACTAAATACATTTTTTTAATTAGGTAAAATTTCTCTCAAAAATAGGTTCCTTATTGAAGATGGCGCAAGGCTGAAACGTGTTTGAATAAATCAAAAAAACGCGGGTGAAGACAGACCCAGTAAGTGACCCTGTGCCGGTTAAGGCTAGTTAATATTTAAAAATTCATAAGTATGATTTATGAATATATTAATTAATTAAGGGTAGTTAATATGAACAATTTTCATCTCAGCCACATTTTACATAAAAAATTATAAATCAATTTAAATCCAAGGACCAACTAAAAACAGATTAATCTAAGATTAACTATTGTCATTTTGAAGCAGAAGAACATTTGCTAAGTGTCATTGTGCATTTATCGACTTAAATAATATTCTTATTAAACTTGAATACTCACTTGTACAAGCATATAATGCCTTATGTTGGTTTGAAATATGTTTAATTTTTTTATAAACTTTTATAAACACTTTTTATAAAATAAAAGCATCATTAATATTTTAAAAATATTGCTAAACTTTAAGAAATGAGAGTATTTCAGTTGCGAGGTTGTATGAACCCTCAGGGTGCTGTTGTTTAAAAAAAAGCCCATTTGTATGTTGGGTTTGAATGCTGGGCTGCTGGATTCGAACCCAGTACCTTTACCTTACAGTAAAGAGCACTGTGACAATGCTTTTACCGTTGTGGCCACCGACACCCCTCTTACTATACTAAAGGCTTTGTTTGTCAGGCTCCTCTTATGTGTGTTTAATAGAGGATTAAAAAAAAAAATCATTTAAATCTTCATTTACGAAGTAACCATGTTTCCCACCATACTCGAATGTTTAAAATTAGTAACAGATGAGTCATTGAATTGAATATAATCAGAGGGAGTACTTAACACGTTCAGTACTGATGACCTGCATGAAGGCCATACTGGTCCAACCTGCTAGACGGATGACCTGCAAGCAGTCATTAATGATGCTTCACATTTCTAGGAATAGGAAATTTTTCTGGGAGGGGGAAATTGAATTATTTATTTCTAATATAAGCTCTTCAGGCAAGGCCGGAAAAAGAACAATCATATGCTACAAAACACAAAAGTACAAACTAAAATAAACAGTATAAAAGTAATTAGGTGTATGATAAGAACAAAAGATTAGAACATTATGAGTTCATCTATAGAAACAACAGATAAGAATGTTAAGCATTAGAAATATTTTTAAAGTGTATAAAGAGTCTGAGAAAAAAATCACAGTTTGCAAGAATTTAATTTCCCAGGGGGGATGCGAGAAGGCTCGTAATGCCTCGCGTAACCAGTGCCATGTGCTCCACAAAAAACATTTGAACTCCTCTCAAAAGAAGAGGAACTCACAAGCCAAGAGTTGAGTGAATCTGTGGAGAGGAGATCTGAGAATTGAGAATTTTCCACAGGCAACAAATCTGTCTGACAAAAATTGAAGCGCAGTAAAAAGGATGCTATCAACATAGGTGAGCCAAATTAAAAAGACAAGTATCTAGAAGGCGTAGCCCTATGCTAGGCAGATTCAACCAGATTAATCTGTTTTAAGAAATGGATCCTAAACAATATAAGCAAACTCAAGATGACTGCGGACCAATGATTGATATAATTATTCCGAAATGAGATGCGGTCTGGTGGGATGTAGGTTTCAGAAAAATATTCTCTTTATCGTGCCAACGTTTCAATCTTTATTGAGATCGTCTTCAGAGCCTGGGATTTACAAACATTGTTTACACTTAACAAATACATGTAGGATGTGGAAAAAAGTGAATTTATACAATGCAAAAAAATATTTTTTTAAATTCAATCAAAGTATTTCTACTCACTCAAAGTGTTTGTTTTCTGCGTACATTGAATATAAAAAAAAAATTTTTTTCATTGTATAAATTCACTTTTTTCCACATCCTACATGTATTTGTTAAATGTAAACAATGTTTGTTTTCTCAAACCTACATTACACCAGACCGCATCTCACGATTTCTGAATAATAATTAAAAAACAATTATTTTTCTTACTTTAACTCGATGAATGTTGAAATATATCTTGAGAACAAGGAACAGCATTTATAATAAAATTATTTAAAATTAGGTGAATCTCAGTATCTAGACATTAACAATATAGAATTAATTAAAAACAATAAAAACAACATAATATAAAAAATTTAAAAACCACAACGTGGTCATTAGTGACCGTTAGTCGATGATTATTCAGAAATCGTTAGATGGGTCTGTGTGATGTAGGTTTCAGAAAACAACATGTCGAACAACATATAAACACAAAATAGCAAAATCTCACTGGCACTCTCGACACGACACGCAAGAATGGCCCAATTACACAGAAGAAAAACACTTTGAGTGAGTAGAAATACTTTGATTGAATATAAAAAATGTTTGTAAATCCCAGGCCCTGAAGATGATCTCAATAAAGATCGACACGTTGGTACGATAAAGAAAATGTTTTTCTGAAACCTACATCACACCAGACCGCATCTCACGATTTCTAAATAAAAAACAAAAATTAAATTACATATCTTCTCATTAAGTATACATAATTAAAGAAAAATTACAATGAAAATGAAACATCATTAAATTATTCTAAAAAATGTATTAGCGTGAATGGAAGGGCATATCCCATATTACCCTGAGGAATACCGAGTACTCTAAGGTAGTGTGATAGCCACACTACCACGTTTTTATCTTGTTGCTGTGTATTTGTATTATTTTATACATAATACACAATACACATACAAGGACACCCTAACGATTCACCCATCGCAGGGTGGTTCCCCCAAATCATTTTTTTAAATACAAATTTTTTTGCTCTGCGAGTTGTAATATTTAGAAAAAATCAAGGTGATGTTTTAATTTTGTCTGTGAGTGTGCTTATTCACTTTATTAAGCTGACTATAAACTGAAAGTCTCAAAAAGTTTAGAAATATTTCTGTATTCGCATCATACATGTGGAGTAGTTGCTGTATATTTTTTAAATATTTGCAATGGTATAAGTATTCCTCATAATCTCTAGTGCTAATAAAATTATTCATAATTATGGTGCTCATACATTGATTGATAATAAAAGTTAAGAAATGTGAGACTTGAAATTTTATTTCATAGCCTCCTCTTGATTTAATTTAATTTATTGATATGTTTAATTATTTGTCATTGTGAAACTTCACTTCTCTTAATTTTGATTTCCTTTTGAAATGGTATAAATTATAGATTTGCAAGAAATTAATTGTCATTGAGTTTAATTAGGCACCCATGGTAGTTTTATTATATATGAATAGCAATTTTAATATTGCATAAATATTAAATATTACTTTTTGAAAATATGGCAAAAAGAGGGAAGAATTCAAAAGGTTGAGTTGAGGTCTGGGTGGATCGAAGTTACGATAATGATAGTGGTTAGATCAGCAGCATGTTGAGCCGATTCATGGGTTCGAATCCCACTCGTTACGTTTGCTTTTACATCTCAATCAAGGCCTTAGATTAAAAGTGTAATTAATAAATTATGGCTGCTAAATGCATATATAGCTTAATTTTATATGACCAGTTATTTGATTACATTTATTAAAGTATATGCTAACCTATATTGTTTCAGATACTTGTATAATGCTTGCCATTTTCAGGAAATTGATCGAATAGAGTTAAGAAGTAGTTTCTTGAGTAGTGAGGTCACAAAATTAATTAGCTTAACAATCCAGGATATGCGTGTAAACAAAGATATGTGCAATACGTCTGGTCATTCGACTTGGAGACCTCCAGAATCTGTCGAAGGAGCTAAAATCCCACCACTTATAATCACAATCGCTCAGGTCTGTCTGGTTTATTTCTATTTTGATGATGACCATTAACCGGTTTATTTACAGTTTATGTGCGTAAGGGTAATTAACGTAACGTGTGCGATTATGGGGAAAGACTACGTTTTTCACGGTACTCTCAACGAAGTAAATATTGATGCGTCGGTCGTACACAGCGCACGATCATTGCTGGTGAGCTCCAGCCTTGGTTCTTTAAATGCGAGACTATTTAAACAAACAGCACCAAAACTTTCGTTTACCGTAGCTGCATCCCTTTCGAGCGAAGCGACTCTTGTAGCTACTACACCTTTAATAATTCAGGTAATTCCATAACGACATGTATGTTACCTTTATTAAATTTATAATTTAATTTGTTTTTCAGAATGTTGATATAATGTTCAAAAATATAAAAACGATTGTAGGAGAAGATTTGGTGACATCGTTCGATTGGATGCAGTCAAAAGAAAACACCACTTTCATGGGCAAAAGAAATTACTTCGATTATCAATTATTTATTAATAGAACTGCACCAATTCTTCCTCAAGTATTATTTTAAATCATGCTTCATTTCAGATCTTTCTGAAATTATTATAATTTTAATGAAATTATGAAATATTTTACAGAAATTGTCGTTATTGTTTGAAAATTGTGTTTTAACTGATTCGTTGGATGTAGATATAGCTTCTATGAAAAATTTCCTTGCTAAGTCGACTTTTAAGCCTTCAGAACAGCAGATTTGTATGACTATACAGTTTTTGATTTGAAATAATTAATTAATTGACACAATTTGTCTTCTCTAGGTGGTTTCAATGGCTGTGGAGATATTGTCTTAGTTTTAGAAGGGTTAGACATGAAATCAACAAATGATAATTATCTTGAGTTGAGCAAGCTACAGATTACCACCAATGTAAATTATTGTCATAATTGCAACGATTTTTAATAGTTTGTAACATTTGGCTTTTAACATCAGGTGGAGCATACTGGAATCAATTCGACAATAGAAATGCGGGATTTTAATTTTGCGTATGAAGAAAGCAAAATGAATTGGATCACCCAGTTTTTACAACTGGATGTATGTTTTTTTATTTACTTTTTATTTTATACTTCATCCTTACCTATTATTACATTTGTTATTTAATAGAATTATGGAGGTAATCAAGTTAAAAGTTGGTCATGGTCTGAGCTTCCTGTAAGACTGAAATTAGAATTATGGAACATATCAATTACGCTTAAATTGCCTGATCTTTCACCAGCAGCCTTGGGATTATCGCACTATAAGTTCCGTTATGACTCCCAGCCTGGCCCAAATGGAGGTTATTTATCATTTTTATTTACTAGAATAATAAAGCAGTTTAAATCGTTGGTCTGGTTCACAAGTGACGTATGAAGTCGTAAGAATTAAATCCTAATTTTTAAGTAGAGACAATTTTAGAACTTGCCAAAAATAATCATGTTAAAGTTGGAAAATTTTGCGTATAATTATTAGAATTAAGAATCAACTTGGTCCTCAGCAATTTTGACTTCACTGTCGATTTGAAGGAAGCTTACAGGAACATTACTTTGTCAGAAGATATCTAAAATTGAACAGTGGCTTAAATTGATATTAAATTTTTTGAACCTAGGCCACTTGTGAACAAAGTCAGCCTTTTATTGCATATACATTATTGTACTATTTATGCTGAATGCAAATGCAAAATTTACAGTACATACTTTTTGTTTAGATGTATATGAAATCATAACAGAGAGTGTATGGTGCCAATTGAATAAAATTTGGAGTACATCCGCGTTAAGAAAAGAGCACAGTTGGGGTACTGCACTTTATCTCGGGTTTTTCTTTGTCAAAGGGAACTCATTAATGCTAGAGGCCATGATAGACACTCTAAGAATAGAATGGAGCCCACCTTTCTCGCAATTATTAAATCATTTTCTGAGGTAATATTTAAATAGTTACTTGGTGTAATTTGGAGATAACATTAATTTTTTTCAAGGTTTATTCAAGAAAAATTTAAATCTAAAAACTTAAATAAAAACGAAATGGAAAAATCCAAAATTCATCTGAACATTGCCTTTACTAAAACTAATATATTTTTTATTGCCAATAACAAGGGTAAATAATTTTGTTAGAATTTTACATATTTATTCTTTCAAGCGTAATATTTACATTTATTATACTTTTTTTTTAGTGTGTTTAATGAAAAGAATAGAAAATGGAGTTTTTGATTGCAATTGGCCGTCTAAATTCAGTCTTGAGGCAGATGGAATCAAACTATGTTCCATAACTCCCATTTCTTCTTCTTTTGTTTGTACTCGATCTCAAGATATAAAAGTAACTTGCTTTTTTCTTTTTTTAAAACTTTCTCCCTCTTAGGGGGTTATTATTGTTGTTATTAATTCCATACATTTAGAGCTACTACGGATGCCTGGATAGTATTCATGTCGAATGTAACAAAACGCATAGTATTACAATGGTGAAGGTTTCTAGGCAAATAAGTTTCTCCTGGAATCCAAACCTCCATCTCAAAATACGGGAAATGTTCCTTCAAATTAATTCTTTCTTAAAAAATCTACAGAAAGGTTTGTTGTGATTGTTATAACATTTTTGTTATTTTAAACCAATTATTATTATTATTATTTTAAGATTTTGCACCAAAGGTTGAAACTGTCGATACTTCAGATAAATATATGAAATTAAATGTGATATTAAAAGGGCACATGAAATGCCTATTGAAACTGTCAAATAATCACAACTTCACAGTCATGACTGGTATGCTATTCTAAGTCAGGTAATTTTAAAGTTTGTTAATTAAAACGTATGAATATAATTTTAGATGACTTTACTTATAACTCAACTTCTGCTGACTGCGTTTGGTCTTCGAGCCTTTTGACAATTGCTATAGATTCAGCAGATATATTTACAATCGAATTTCTACACTTCACCACTTTACGCGATCATGAACTTGTAAGAGCTGAGAGAGCAAACAATGAAGAATTCATCCTGCCATGGAATAGAACATGGTACTATAATACTAAATATGTATTGTAAATAAATAAAATCTAATGTCGGCAATCTTCCAATACTGATAATCTCTAATCTTATTTCACAATATACTAATCCTTGTCAGGACTGATTAATTAAATTTATAACCTAACTGAAATTAATTAAACTTTAGATGTTGTATAGTAGGTGATATTTATTTAATATATTTTAGGCTTATAACTATGAAAAGTGTTAAAGCTATATTTCCATACGAGCATAATTTCTCTTCTGCAGTTCAAGATGATTTTATTACCGTTTTTAAATGGTTAAAAAATTTACACAGATCGCAGAATTCCGACAGTAATAAACTTCCACCTGATCTGTTCATCAAGGTATTCGCAGGTTAATTGTAAAACTAGAATTTTATATTAATCCATTGTGTTTTTTAGATAAAAGAATTTTTATTTGAAATGAGTGATGATCCATTTGAAGTAAGAGTTCGTGACAATTACGAACTTCTTGAAGACGAGTATAAGGAAAACTTAAAACGCCAAAAAACACTCGAAGAAAAGGTAAACAACAGTTGTTTTGTTGAATAAGTGTTATATACTAGTCTATTAATAAAAATTAATATTTTTTTTATAACAATAGATATCTAAAAAGAGTAAGACTCATTTGATAATGCCTTCTGAAAAGGTTGATGACCTTTATGCAGCATTGTCTGCATTAAGCACAAAGATTTATATTAAGCGCTCAAAGATGCTTAAAGAGCAAGGCACAAGAACGAGGTTGTTCGCTTGGATAGTATCTGAACTTCAGATCTTAGCATTGGCAGACCATTCGATTCACGGTCTTGAAAACGCTGTTGCCAACATGATTCAGATTGACCAAAAGTCGTAAGTTAAATTTTTCTCCAACCTTTTTATCATTCATTTGAGTATATTTTTATTTATTTTATTTTCAGCCCTTGGCCTTCAAAAGGTCTAGAATTTAGTACACTTTGGTGTCGGAGTATTGTAGTAAATTGTAAGGAGCTTAAGTTCCAACTACGAGATTTCCCACAGCCCTGGCTGGTTTTCGGAGGGATGCAGATGTGGGGGAAGCTCGTAGGAGCAGAACAGGTTCCTACAAGGAGAGGTACGTTGTTGTGTAAATCAATTGAATCATTACAAAAATTATTTTGCGAAAAAATTTACAGAATGCAATATACACTTAATTTATTATATCTATTATTCCAATTTTATATATAATTAAATTAAAGCTTGGATGGCAATAGGATAAATAAGATTACGAGTGAATGTTTGGAGTCAGAGCTTTATAGCACTCAGAAGAGATATAGCTAACCTAAGATAGAAGGTTTGGATGTTAGGGCGTGAAATGACCTTAGCCGTTAAAACGCCCTTAAAAATTAATAATAATAATAATAATAATAAATTGTTTCGTTGAATGGTTTTTATTTAGCTTTTGGCCCCTGCTAGGAACCTGTTAATGCACAATGCTACTTAATTCGAAATTACTTCTTCCTACTTTTTTTGTCAATGTTCAAGGTTTTTAAAATTAATATCTTGCTATTATTCAGGTTTTAAGAAGATAAATAAAAAATAAATATTTAATTTTATAGTATATGTACCGCCGAAGAGAGTTCTATCGACATTTATGTAAATTTATATTTTTATTTATATCTTATATAATAATAATAATATCCCAGAAAGATTATAGTGATTGTCCCAGAAATATTTAATAAGTAAAGAGTTCTTCGTGTCATACCAGTTTTTTAGCCTTATTTCTCCATGATTCTATGTCATATTTGATTTTGCTTCCATAAAGTTCCCCCCCCATTTACTGTCTGTTGAATATGCAATATGTCCACTCCAAGGCTAATTATAAATCAATTAGGTTTTGTGGTCCGATTGACCAATTAAATTCTTTTCAGTTAATTAATCTTTAAGTAAGGATTGGTCAAGATAAAAAAGTCAGTGCCACGAGTGGGATTCGAACCCATGACCTTCGGCTAAATATGCCGCTGCTCTACCATTGAGCTATCACGACTTCGATCCGCTTGAACACCAACTTCCCATCTCAACCTCACCTTTTTGAATTTTTTTCTCCTTTTTGAGCTTTAGTGAAGTATACTTCTTTTTCCTTATTAAATCGATTAGGTTTCGTGGTCTGATTGACCAATTAAATTCTTTTCAATCAATTAATTACCTTTAAGTAAGGTATTGGTTGAGATAAAAAAAGATAAATTAATTTTTAAAAAATGCAAAAAGGAGGGAAAAATTTAAAAAAATAGCTCGTGGCACTGACTTTTTTTATCTCAACCAATACCTTACTTAAAGCTAATTATAAAGATGAAGTTCTGGGACTTATCTGACTGTTAAAGTCTCTCTTGATTGGATGGCACCCGAGGTTTCTTTTAAAGTCTTGGATGGTTTTGGACAAATCTTTTCACAATTTTTTATTTCAGTTTTGGAATCTCAACATAGAATGGAATATTTTTTCTTGTTTGTTATTTCTCCTTAAAACTTATATTTAGGACTTAAATTCTTTCAGAAACATTAGAGAACATAATAATTTGGCTCATCTGAGACTTTTTGATCAGAAAATGTACACATCTATAACCTGTACGCTGAAATGCTAAAAAATATAATCAAACTTTTCCTCAATTTTCCTTTTGTAATTGTTCTCATTTAGCTTAGGTCTAGAATTTCTGATTAATGTGTATTCACCTTTAGTTGTCTTTCATTTTTTTAAGTTCTTGGCTTTAAGATGTTGAATATGTTTGTGTTTTGCGTATTCGTTAAGACTGGCCAAATTAATTTTACCGTTGATACAAAGATTTTTGGTATTGTTCTAGCTAAGAGGGTTGTCAAACTTGACCTTGGAGATGGTTGGGGCACGACTGATATTGAAAGAAACATGACATCGCTCAAATTCTATCATGATCTTAATTGTGAAGTAGAACATTTCAGCTACGCTTTTGGCCCCTGCTGGGAACCTGTTATTGCACAATGCTACTTAAGTAAATAAGTCGTTTTCAAAATTACTTCTTTCTACTTTTTTCATCAATGTTTGAGGTTTATAACATTAATATCTCTATTATTCAGGTTTTGAGAAAATTGTGAGGGCCTCATTGGACCCAAGTCCACCGTTACCGTTGTGGGATAAATTGAGACTTCTCCTTCACGGCCGAGTTACTATGGTTATTCGCCAGTTGACAGTCCTACTTCATGCATCTCTCGACCCGTACAACAAGACTGAAGAAATGGAAATAACATGGTCGTCTGTAGCTGTGGATTGGACAAATGGTAATCACTGATTAATAGTTTAATGTAGTTTCAATTTTATAATGTTTAAAGTATCAATTTTATTGTGATGTGCCACAAAATTTGAACATTTTCTATTTTAATGCTTAAAATAAATTTTTGATTTAAATTAAATTTGTATATAACATCTTAACTTTGTCATACTTGATATGTAAGGTGATTTAGTATTTTTTTGCAGTTAAAATATTAATACCCCACATAAGTACATTACTATTATTTTTCGACTGTGCTATAATTTGCAATATATGAGAAAAATGGATAAATGATTGATTTTATATTTTTCAGCAAAAGTTGTTTTCAATGGCGACTTAGATATATACGTACGTACAGCTTCAAAATATGACGACTGCCGATTGCTGCACTTGCCCAACTTACGATTGAGTATCAAATTGGGATGGGTTTGTCTAGGGGATCCGAACGATCATCATTCAGTTATGCCTTGTGCACCTGACAAACTTCCTGACTATTCAAGCAATCAAGAACACGATTCGTTCAGGGCTTTCAGATCTCAGAATTTAAATATTACACTCGCTTTAGAAACGAAACCGGTAAACGAATCTGCAAATGGACTTAACTGCCCTGTAGCACTCCTGTATGGAAGCACATTGAGGTAGTTTGATTTGAAACTAGATGAAACAAATTCATACCTTCCTATAAGAATTATTCTTTTACTATAAGAACATTTATCATTGATTTTTAAATCAGTATAGTTCTATGGTCTAGTTATAATCCATGTTTTAAATTTTCAGATGGTTTGAAAATCTCAAATTAATATTATCTGGAGTGACCAGGCCAACAAGACGAGGGACGGTTTTCAATACTTTGAGGCCTCGTAAGCTTCCATTGAGCCGACATTACAAACGTGTGCATCTTCTGCTTTCCCTTCATACCTTTCAAGTGCATTATTGGATGTCATTTGCGATGCAGAGAGGATTCAAACTCACTGGAGAAAGTATTGCTTTCAGTTCAGGTACTTTTCCTATTTTAACTGGACCTCTAAAAAGGGAACACCTCTAAAAAGGACAAATTCTGATTTTTCAGCGACTTCCTATTAGTTTCTTCGCTTTAAAATCTTATATAAAGACACTCCTAATAATGGATGCGGTCTGCTTTTTAAAATATATTCTGTCACTAAAATGTTCCTAAAAGTGGTTAGCAGACTCCGGGAATTGAATGTTCTAATTATCTTTCCAATCCGTTGCTGAAATTCAACATTTTGATTATGCCACTTTGCAAACATGATTTTGACCTTCTTCAGAATTCAGTTTGAGTTTCAATTTTGATGCGATAATATCAATATGCCTCCTCGTTTAATAAAAATTAATATAGGTAAAGTGAGTGAAAGTTTAAAACTGTGTGGGCAAGACTTTAAAACTTACTTTTTTATGGCCTTACGAACTTTGCCAAAGAATGTTATATTTCATATGTGATGCATATTCTTTTTTGTTGGGGGGGAAGTATTGTGTGAAAAAATGGTTCAGGGGCGACGGTAGAAATCAAACCTGGACTGGGGTGTAGAGCCGAGAGTCTATCTCACTGAGTACTTGGCTACTGTGGTTCTTTCCAGTTGTGAAGTTTTCTATTGGAAAGACCTAGGCAAGTAAATTTTACAAATATGGAAATTATCAGCCCTAAAGATTTTTTTTTAATTTTATAAAATGTCTGATTCCATTGACCAGGATGTATTTGAATGCTTTTGCTGGGCTCACATACCACTGTCTTAGAAGTTGCAAAACATTTATGGCAAATTGTTTTTAAAACATCTTCAAGTTGACTCGATAAATTTTCGGAATAAGATTTCTTTTGACCATTATTGGAGAAATAGCATCAATGACATCGAGGTTGTACAAAACTGGATGAAAAACAACAATATGCACTAATTTTGAATCCAAAAACATTTTTTTCCACTTCCAGATAAAACTATGCGGTTCAAAGATGGTTATTGTCAGGGAGAAAAAGTTTCAAAGGAGCATTTAACTTTGCTCTTTTGCTACAGCTCACTGAATTTGAAAACCCTCTGGTCGTAGGAGAATATAAAAAATCCTGGGGGTTTCAAAGTTTTCAATATCTTGTAAAACCCTATAGTGGTCCATCATGTAATAGTACACGTTTTTTTCACCCTTATCCCAAATCGTTTTTTTTTTTTTTTATATATATAATGGGCAATATTTCCTTCCTCAAGAGGGTTCTTTATAGGGAAGTTTCACTGTATTAATGTGAAGTAGTTTAGATGTAATAGATTAACAAATTAGTTTTTTTAAAGATTTTTCACTAAGGTGAGCTGGTTAATGCACGTGCAATTTTGTCTTTTCCGAACATCCTGGTCTGCTTGTTATCACATGTTTCAGACAAACAAATGGAAGATGATGAAATGCCAAATGTTTCTATAGATGGGGATGATCAGAAATAACAATAAATGATTTTTGTTCACAATTTTTACCATTAAGTATGTTTGATTCTTTTTTCAGAGCACCAGCTGTCTCTTGTACCAGTAAACGATGGCTTAAAACACCGTCCTAGGGCAGAATGGACTGTTGTTTACATGACATGTGAGCTCGGCAACGCTGAAATTTGGCTCAGAAGTGCTCTTCCCAATAATGACCAATTTTCCGAGGTAGTTTTGTTAAATTATATAGATTGTTATAATTTGATATTTGAAATTTTCTCTTTCAGAAGGTATCTTTGAAACAGACAGTGGAGAAATGCTATTTTTTAAGCGTCGGAAAAGTATCTTATGGGCGTGAAGGAGCGGGATTGGGCAATACAAAAACACCAATTCACAGGCTTGTTGTTTATGGTCTCAAAGGTGCATGGACAACCAGAAATAGAGATGTAGTTTTTGCTCTTTTTGACACGTTTATGAAAACAAAGGTAAATTATCTTAATTATCGATTATTATTGATTATATATTGTCTTCAACAAGACATTAAAAATAAAATCCCTTACCTCGAATCTTTTGCCCTAGCAATTAAGAAAGAATCTTTCGACTGAAGCATTGAAAGGGTTTAGAGGTGAAACTAACACATTAAAGCCACCTGCACATGGAAATGACACTCAGTCCCTTTCAGCAAACGCGTCGAACAATATTCAGGTAAAAAATTGTTAAAAGTATGGAAGATGTACTGAGTCTAACTGTCTAGGCAACACCGTCACCCATGAGCAAGCTACAATGCGGCCATGCTGCTACAATGCTCCAACAGTTGATTGCTGAAGCTGACACTAAAGCTGTAGTTTTCAGCGATGAACCAATTATAGAGCCTAATGAAAAGCAACTTCAGGGTCTGGCCGCATGCCAACATAGTGATGATGTTATTTACGAAAACTGGCTATGTATGTTCTTATTGAAATAAATTTTGTTAAATAACACGCTATAATTTATGTAATGTTTTTAGTTGCGCTTGTTAACAGTCAGGTATTATTGAAAGGACCAGAAACTAAAGGATATGTGATAATAAGTGCATCAAAAGCTGAAATACTTCAAAGGGTACATAGGCCAGTATGGAAAGACAGGACACTTGTCACTAAAACAACATGGGTCGGCTCTCTACAATCAATGCAGTACTATGCGACTGTGAGTGCTGGAGAAAATGATTCTTTGGATGGTAATAATATTTTTTATTTCACATTAGTCACTGAAATGATTTATGATAATTTATCCAATTGGGTTTTTTCTTCTTTTATCTATTTATGTTTTAAAATTTTTATTTTTAAATTTTAGATAATATTATGTGGTTAAATGTGGACAATATAAAGGATAAGGATGAATGTGTAATAGCAGAGTTGCCTGACATTCCTCAGTTAGTCGGAAGTGGTCGATCTGTTGGTGGCGTCGTCAGTGAGACAGTTGGGGCCAGCAGTGTTGGAAAAAATCCACCACTTCAAGTAAATAATAATAAATAAAATTTTATATTTAACTTCTAAATATAAATTCCGATTTTTAGCTCCAAAGGATAGTGTCCAGGTGCAAGTGTGAATTTTTTTATGTGTGCTACGGAGAAAGCAGCATGTCACCAAGTACGCTTATAGGAGTTCCTACACCGCCTTGTGAAGACTCTACTTCTTTGTGGGAGCATCACCTGCCTCCTGTCGACGCATTCACACTTATGCACCACGACTTAAATGTTTGCACAAATTCTCTACAGGTATTCTGTTAAATTTATTCGCTACTAATTGCTGTATTTTGTATAATTTTTTTCAAAATTTACATTGTTTTACTGATTTTGGTTAATATCAACAACTATTGTATAGCCAAAGCTTTAATTGTATATTTTAAAAACTTTAGTATACCATGCTTTTGGACATTGTTAACAACCTGCTTCTCCATGTGGAGAAATCGCGCAAAGAAGCGTACGAACGTTTGCAGAGAATGAGGTTTCAACTGCAATTACAAAGTGTCGAAGATCAGAAAAGGCCGATTCAGGAAGCGCAAACTCGTGTTAGAGCACTTCTCTGCAAGCTGCGAGCTCTAGAAAAAGAAATGTACTTAGTGCAAAGAGCACTCGGAGATGAGCCTAACAGTTCGCACTTACAACAGCAAATGGAAAATCTAGATAAACAGGTAAATATTATCTATTAGTTTAAACGAACTTTTTATCTAAGATCTTGGTTGAGATTAAATAATTAAATTAAATAAAAAAGGATATATATAAAAAATTAATAAAAATAATCAATAAGGTGACTATATGCTCAGTTTAGTTCAGAAGTCTCTGCCCAAATCCATTCTTAATTATAAATTTAGCTTTCTTTACTTAAAATTATTGCATGACTAGATAAAATACAGTTCTATGAGCCTTATAGAATTTTTATCATGGGGAAGAAGTGGAAACTGATAATTTACAAAAGATGTAAACTTAGCAAAAGAAAGTATTTTGTGAACTCTGAGATCTTCTCATCCTTCATCCTCACTGTGTATTTTACCCTATACCACGAGAACAATAAATATTTATTTAGCTGGCTAAAATAAGTTTTACATATGGATTTAAATTCTTAGGGCCTTCTTGTAAAAAAAAGAACTATCTTGATGAATCTTAGTAGTTTTTTTTTCTGGTACATTGACGAATAAAGCCAAGAGTAATCCAGCCTGGAATAAAATTTCCTAACAAATTATAACAAATTGTTCAGCCTGAACCTAATAAAATTAGTTATTCAGATATCGTGAGATGCGGTCGGGTGTGATGTAGGTTTCAGAAAAACATTTTCTTTATCGTGCCAAAGTTTCGATCTTTTATTGAGATCATCTTCAGGGTCTGGGATTTACAAACAATGTACTAATAAAATTAACTAGACTCAAATAAAATATAAGTACCATCATGCCATTTTGAAGTATGTCTTTGAAAATAGGCGGTCAGCTCCTTGAGCGATCATTTATTCGCGAACCTTGTTTTTTTTTCCCCAAACATCTTGATATTATGCAAGATGTATTCTTTAGTTTATGACGTATTAGTTTACTTAGGCCATTTTTTATTGGGTTTGGTCTTGAACTGATAGTAAGTGTTGAAAGGTTTGCTTGCTTTTACTGCTATTTTTCCCCCTTTCTTGTTATATTTATTAGGGTTTCTTGGTCCGCTTGACCTTCCATTCAAATAATTAAACTTTAATTAAGGTTTTGGTTGGGATAAAAAAAGTCAGTGTCACCTGCGGGATTTGAACCATGACCTTTGGCTAAATACACAGCTGCTCTACCACTTGAACTATCGTGACTTCGTTCCACTCGGAAAGATGGCAGAAAGGAGGGAAAATTCAAAAGGTGGGGTTGAGATGGAAAGTGTCCGACAGCTTGTGACACTGACTTTTTATCTCAACCAAAACCTTAATTAAAGATTAATTTCTTGTTATATTTCCTCCACCCATTTGACCAGAAACCTTTTGTTTTTCTCCTTAACAAATAGATTGTCTCGTATGGTTAGCCATTTTGGTTGCCCAATTTATCCTGTAAAATAGCTCTCTGGTACTTAAATATAATGTAAATGGTTTATTTTTATTTTTATTACGTTTATCTAAGTGATATAAATTATATGGCGCAACTGCATCCCTCACAGCGCTAAGTAAATGAAGTAGGCAACTCACAGAACATTTGTTCATTTTGGGTGCATAGTTAGTATAGTAGGGCATAGTGTTTCAACTTTCTGAATAGTTTTTCTTGTATTTTACATAATCATACAAAATGTGTAAATAATTAACAAACGTGTAAATATCATTTCCAGTTTTAAAAAAATTAAAATGATCATAGCCAGTGACACTTTTGGCCTTTGTGATGTGGCCCTTGGAATTTTGGAAAGAATTGTGAAGCAGGTGAGGTGGAGGGGAGAGTATAAAACATAAACGGGAAGACGCTCTAGGACAATTGTCATGATGCACAAATTGTGACATCCACAGCCAATGGGTTATGACTTAGCTGCTGATTTTTTTTCTCATAGCAGTCTTTTCCTCTGCACTATTAGATTTAAAGGAGCAAAAGCTAAAATTTAGAGGATATTTGTGGATGTGGTTTTGAACACTTCTGTTGTCACCAGCAATGTGATTCGTTGACTCTAGTCCAAAATGATTCGTGATTTCCCAGTTTAAGAGCCCATGGTCTATTATTCATATTTTTGATTATTCCACTGAGAAACTTACTGATGCTAATGAATAACCACATTGACCCAACAGTACAAACATTATTCGATATATTTTTTTGTTTCCATTTTAGGTTTATAGCTGTAAAGAATCGCTTACGTTGCGAAGTGAAGAGCTGGATGCCATGCTTTCCTGGTATAAAGAGACACAGCTGGTTGGACAGAAAACCTCTATGCTCAGAGGCGATAACGTAGTTACTGTGGATAGAGCAAGTGAAATTTGTTTCAAACATGCCCAATGGAGGCTTACTGAAGCCGATGGCCAATTGGGAATTGCAGATTTGATATTAAGCAATTTTCTGTAAGCCTTGCATTTTGCCGTCTGATTTTTATTATTTATTTTTACAATGTGTTGTATTAGGTATACCAAAAATTCAAAAAGCGATGATTCTGTAGAGCATTTGCTAGAACTCGGCTATGTTAGAATGAGCAATTTGCTCCCCAATCCGATTTATCAGGAAGTGCTTCAGCCTACTGAAATACTCAATAATATGCCAATAGATCGCAAGGTATTTGTGTACATCATGCTTTACAATCTAAATCCACGGTAAATTTCAGTAAAGTTTTAATTATATTCTCCGTTATAGAGAGCGTTAAGAGTGTTTTGTAGAGAAAAAGCACCTGTTGGTGGAATATCGGTCAAGGAACACTTTGAGATAAACTTAGTCCCGTTAACAATAGGCAAGTCATTTAGGTGCAAGAAAACCATCATACGATCTCTTAATTGTATAATTAAAAACTTTTTTAGGCCTTACAAAAAAGTTTTATAGCAAAATGCTCAAATTTTGTTTCCCTGAAAGAGATGGTGAAGACGGTGATCTTTCTGAAGACAATGAAAGTTCCAAAAGGTATAAATTGTACAGTAAAGGTAAAGAGACTAGTTTCTACGTGCCAATAGAGAGAAAAGATGATGTAGAAAAAATGAAGGTAAAATTAAAGACACTTGAAAAAACAAAAACATTAACACATTTTGTGTTCCGAGTAGGAAAGAGCAGAAAAGAATAAGCTTTTCATCTACATTAAAATCCCAGAAGTGCCTGTAAAAGTCAGTTATAAAGGCAACAAGGAGAAAAACCTCGAAGATATAAGAGATTTCAGCCTTGTTATTCCAACCTTAGAATATCATAATGTCACTTGGACATGGTTAGATTTGTTACTCGCTATGAAAAGCGACACTAGACGAGTTATACTGTCCCAGGTGAGTAAAGCAGAAAAATCATTTACACAAATTATGAGATTGGCATTTAATCAATTTTTTTCTAGGCTATTAAGCAAAAGCTGCAGATTAAAATAAGAACTGGAAACGATGAAGGAGCGTCGCCCCAAGAAGAAGACAAAGCGAGGATGCTGTTTGGAAACAGACACATGGTAATTATAAATTTCAAAATATTCAATCCTTTGTTAGATCTTATGAACATGTTGAATGCAGAAGATGCATCATCCCAGCTATCTTTCGGGTGAACTCATTTATACTTTTTAAACCCTCCCTCTATTTCACTTGCTACACAATATTGTTCAAAATTCTTAGGGCCGTCCCAGAAAGGGCTAAGGCTGTTTCAATTTTTTTCCCCCAATGGAAATTATTTTCTTTATTCTATGAAAACCACATAATTTGTTTTTCTGAGTGCGTGTTTGTGTTTGGTTATTTTAATTAATTATTTATCTATTTTGTATGATTACATAAAATAACAGAAAAATTATTGTAGAAAGTTAAGATGACTTTAATTCAAATATGCACCCAAATTGAACAAATATTCTGCAGGTTGCCTGCTTCATTTAGTTAGTGCTGCGTGGCACAACTGTTGTGTCATATATCATTTAGATTAATGTAAGAAAAATAAAAACTTATTTTTAAGTACCAGTATTTTGGGGCGTCAGTGGCTGCAACCGTTTAATTGTTGATACTTTTGCACTCTTTACCGTAAGGTAAAGGTACCGAGTTCGATTTCAGCGGCCCTATATAAGCAATAAAACGAAAAATACCAGAAAGCTCGTTTACATGATACGCTGGGTTCAATTGTGGGTAATCAAAATGCCCACACAAAATGGCCAAGCATAGGATGCAGTCTGTGTTAATGGACACCCTCATACATGAAATCTTTGTCCCTGTGCCCTCATATAATCATACAGAAAAAATGTGTAGATTAAAAATGTAAAATGTATAATTCTTCATACTATAAAAACAAGACAAAAAAGCAAAGGAAGAATGTAGATCAATACTAATAAAAAGCAAAACAAGTGATAAATTAAGAACCCTATTAAATTTATTAAAAACATAACGTATATAGCTAGATTATCAATTATATTCCATCATATTAAACTATTTACAATAATTGCACCTAAAATATGTACCTTATGTAGTAAATTATATTTCTAAATTCAGTTTTAATACGTCCAACTCAAATTTCAAGGTTGTGTTAGCCATTTGAAAAATAACGACCTTAGCCCATTCAGGACGGTGAATGTGATAGTACGACCTTGCTTCCCCCAGTTCAGTGAGCTACTACAAGTGTGCCATCATGCTCACCCCTTACCTCTACTCAGGTACTGTGAGCATCATGCTCAATTCTCCTCACTTATAGACTGAAGTTCATGAGGCATCGTGTTTCTTAAAATGGTGAATGAAGGTGTTTTGTAAATCTCCCACCTCACTAGTGCTAAAAATTATAACTTAAACAGCACACTTCTTCTAAGAATTAAGAATCTATAACTGAAGAGAGTAGAGTGCGATATCACACTCTCGGTATGTCACTCGGGGAACGAAGTGAGCTGGTCATTCTGAACAAGTTAAAATGTTTACACTTATTTTTGTCAAATATTGAAGTTGTATGTTTTGATCTCATTTGTAATTTTTTTCAGCCAGGAGAGAACAAAAGTTTAAAACGAGGAATTTTCAAGTTTCCAAAATAAATCCTAGACTGTAACGGTTTGCAATTTTTAATATGTCTAATAGGTATGTATTTCAGCAATTACTCAGTCTTGCTCATTTAGAAGACATTTAACACTTTATTTTTTTAACTGTTCATATTAGTTTGGTTTACATACAACGGAAATCTAAATATTTCAATAGATTTCTATTTGATTTTGTATTATGATTATTTTGACTCTTCTTAAAGCTATTTAGCTATTACAAAAAAATCTAATGACACCAAAATAAAATACTAATGTCACCAATTGTTGGCTAAACTTGAAAAAAATTTTCCAAAGTGAAATTCAAACTGTTGAATACTAGGAGGTACTTGCAACAAGTATGACATGAGTATATTTATTCCGTCTAATATGTAGGGCGTTAAGGTTTTATACTGTGAAAATAATTTTTCAATGTTGAAAGATGATGTAAATAAATATCAACAATAATGTAAATAAGACAATAAACATATTTATTTTACATTGTTAATAAGCCTCTGGCCAACTATCTACAACCTTACACCCTTTGTACTTCTTTCTCGTTCTGATTCCTGTGACTAGCGTATTACTCTTTGGAAATGCTGTTTGTCCTTTAAACATAGTATCATCATCTGGAAGTGAAATGGCAAAAGTAAGAATAATGCTCTTAACTATATAACGTAAGTTTCGTTACCAGGGTGGAAACGCAGAGGTTCATACTGGATGTGGAGGTTTGGAGGCAAATCGATAGATTTAAGCTTATCAAGGGGTAACACTTCGCTTACAGGAGTTCCATAAAATGCCAGCAAATCGTCTAAAATAAAAAATTCACATTGTTGTGAGAGTTGAGATACAAAATTGATAACATTTGAGATGATAAAATGGAGTATATTTTTGGAGAGGAAAAGTTTTTCAACGTGTAAAACTCAATGACATGTTTTCTTATAGCTCGGTCATTTTCAATCATTTTAGTCTAACTAGTCTCACTGTTTTGGACTGCAGATGCATTTCTTCATTTTTTCAACATCCCTGGTTGATCTGTGTATTATTTTGTCAACTGTACAATTAGCACGAAAACCATCAGTTCTGAGCAGTGCAAGCATCCCTGATCATTTTGGTCTGTCGGATGAGTTTTTGTTTTCTGTCATCATAGTTCATGAATAATCTGGAACTCTATAAGGTCTGGATGAAAAATTTAATTGTTATTTGCCAAGCTTTCAACCTATTTTAAGGTCATCTTCATCAAGGAAAAAAAATTAAAGATGTATACAAATTGACATAATTTAATTTTTAATAAATGGTTTCAATGTTATTTGAATGTAGACACACTCCCAACATTGCAAAGGACTTTAATGTCAATTTGTAGACATCTTGAAGATTATTTTGCCCTGATGATGACCAAAGCTTGGCAAATAATATCTGATTTTTTTTTAAATCTATTCCATACCGAGAACCAGATTATTTGTGAGTTAAAAAATGATTGATACATCTAAAATTTTAAACGGAATCATGATATGTCTGATTTATCAACGTTTGGTCAAATTTACACACAAACTCTCTATGGTGAGTGAAATATTCATTTTGGCCAGCATTTCCAGCAGTCATTATGATCTACCAGTCTGTTGATCAATAATCCCACAAATAATGATAGCAAAAGGCTGAAATATGCCTGACATGACCAAAACAATGAAATTGCAAACTAAATGATCAAAAACCACCAAACAAGTCCCAAGATTAAATAAACTAAAAAAAATCAGCAAGGCCAGACAGACCAATATGATTGATAAGATTCATTACCCAACAAATCAGAGGAAATCTCAAGTTGAAAAAATTGTCATGTAACTGAAGGGTCTGACAGAAGAAAAACAACATGAATCTTTGGGCTTAGGTGTTTTCTCAGATGAGAACTAGACTGGTTCATCACCCTGTAAGATGAAAGGAGGAAATCTAACCTTAAAAAAAAATTGTCGTGTAACTGAAAGGTCTGACAGAAGAAAGACAACACAAGTGTCTAAGCCTAGGTGTCTTCTCAGATGTCCTAGACTGGTTCATCACCCATAAGACCAAAGGAGGAAATCTCACATTAAAAAAATTGTTATATAACTGCAAATAATAGCTGAGAAGAAAGAAGACGCAAGTATCTAAGCCTTGGTGTGTTCTCAGATGAGACCTTAAGTTTTCTTTGAGTCACCTTTCAGGAAAAAATTAATTTTTCAACTCCTCACTCAACACCCTTGCCATCAAGACAGTTCTCTTAGGTTGTTTTGACTAAAATAATTACTCTGGTGGAATGAGTATATCAGTTAAATGTTTGAAAATAATGGTTTTACTCAGTTTTTCAGGAGTAATCTGGCTTTCCAGCTCTCAAATGTTCACCTCTCTGAGTTTCAGTGTGATGATAGACGTTTGGAAGCTCAAAATCCAGATTTCTGCAAAAAACAGTTTGTGAGTAGAACCTTGGTTTTAAACCAATTAATAATTAGATTTGATGGTGGGTGTTGGACCGAGAATAATTATTCAGCAAGAAACTATCACTATGTTCAAGTAGCTTTGGTTGTCACTAGTGGTGATAAAGTGACAGTTCCTGGTGCAAATGAAGATAAGACCAAATGCTAGTTCACATCAATTACTAATTACTCTAGGCACATTGTTTTGAAAGCCAATGCTTTGTTTTGATTTCACAGAAATTAAAGCCTATCATAACTGAATGATAGGTTGAAGATGACATTTTCTGACCAACTAAATCGGTCGTATATAAAAGAAAATTGAACCCATTGCATGTCTGGGGTTGCTCAACTAAAAAGCTTTCCTTAGAAGCATTCTGCTACAAAGCTTTTGCATATTAAAAAGTGTTCTCGTTTCATTTTATCAAGCACTAACCATAACGTTTTATGGTGTGTAGGATTGAGTTCGGTACGGAGTGGTTGAATCTTTTGAAGCATTCATTGAATAATTCAAACTTGACCGAATGGGATATATCTTGACTTTCATCGCCCACGACTGAATTGTAAATAGTTTTCAGTTCTTTTTCGTAGTTTTCCTTCGGTTCGTACTCTTTTTGACACCTGAGGAACCTGAAATACAAAAGTGCAACATTAGAGGGGGGAACCATGAGGTAACCAGCAGATAAACCGACCCCCGAGCAGCGACGGACTCCTGTGTACTTTGTAACTTTCTGCATTTCGGTACTTCGACTTTGGGAATTTTCTGTTTGTAGTTCTTCTTCGGATAATATCTCTTCTGGGCCTGTACGATGAAAACAAACACGTCAAAAAGGAGAAAGTAGAGTAAACAAACTGGGCTTTGATAACGGCAGTCTCGGAGGAGCCGATGGCAGAGCTGTCAGCCGAGATAGAACGGACGATACAGTCGCACGACGGACTCCGCCGATCTACCTAGTTACATACTTACAAAATCCAAATTCCTCAATGAAGATATAGCGAGAATTTGATGATTTTTTGACAACACATGGTTTATGAGGGCGGCCATGACAGTATTGCTTAACACCACGTGATCAATATTGACCAATAGAATGCGCCGGAGCGCTGCGCTTGTTGTCTATCTATCCGCCATTTTCCAGTCGCCATTGAAGGAGAAATCCCCTTCTCAATGGAACTTAACCAACGTTAAATATTTAGTGGTTTTAATTAGTTTATCGGGTGTAATGTGGTATTAAAGTTTTACTTTAAGATGGATAAAGCATGACGAATCCAAATAACCAGACCAACGGTGCCAGCTTGGAGGATTGCCACACGAATTTCTTCGCTCTGGTAAGCCAAGTTAGCTTTTGTAGGATAGCCTAGTTTTGTAATACCATTCGGATCGCATACCACCGCATAATAAACAACATAAGAGCCTTTTATGGATATAAAACAGTATGCCACGGTTCGAACGATATGAAAAGTCGAGGGACAACAAGCCCGAAGACTGTTTTTATGAAAATAACCAAAACCGAACGCAAGGGGACTGTTTATATAAACTAGGCGTTGTGTCATGGCATGCGTATTTATCGTTATTTTACCTTCTAAAAATCAAAATCGTCACATTTACTCTTTTTATATATTCTTTATTTCACCAGAGGCTTTTTTATTTATCGGGTTTTTTCTTTAATTTCATCCATTTGTACATGGTTTAACCGCAAAATAGGAATTGTCATTTCTATAGCCTTGAAACACAACTTCTCTTCCAAAACCTTAACACATTTTTCTCTCTTGCTTCTCTCTCTCTCTTTCATTTTTTTTCCGAAATCAGATAACGGACGACAAAAGTTTTTTTTATTTTATTTTCGCCTGTTATTCGAGTGAATATTATTACGCCAGAATGAAAGTGACTTCCACAGGACTGACATTTTCATTTCAAGTAAATTCAAAAAGCTAAAAAACAAGTTACAATACAGTGTTGTTGGTTTTTTTAATGCAAAAACGGACAAAAAAAAATATTAAAAATTGCCAAAAATTATATCCAACGGCGTATTTTTCTGTGCTAGTCTCAAAGGAACTTTCTCGACTTTTACCATTAGATTTACAGTTATGTTCACTCTAGTTTTGTACTCGTTACGTTTCTCCTTTATTAATTTTTAAAAACAGATTCTCTAGTGATTTTTTTTTGGAAGGTTTTGATTTTAATTTTTTTATGAAAACTATCGATTACCTCGAGAAAAGTTAATAGATTGTTTTTTGTTTTTTTTAAAAGGATACGTTTAATTGAGTTAAAACTCAGAACCGTATCGCTTTTCCACTTTTTGTTTTCGCGAAAAGTGGGCCTCGTTTTCTCAATGAATGGCACAAATTAAAAAAAAATCCAAATCCAATTTTGGGAACGTTTTCAGTTGTACCGTTTTCTCGGCTTGGAAAGGATAGTAAAAACGTTCATCAACGGTTTCTTTCTGTCCCTTATGAAACAGGTCATTGACTTGAAACAGCACAATTGAAAGAAACATTCAGGTACATTCCTTGACATAAGAGTTTCCCTCTTGTTTTTAACGAGTACGAATTTGTTTTTCCGTTTTCTCCCAATTGGCCCTTAAGAGAAATAAACAATTTTCTCTTTTTTATTGAAAGTTTTCATTTGGATTTTTGAAAAATATTTCTCAAACTATTAGCAGAATTATCGCGGCATGATCTGCTCGATTAATTTTCTCCCTCTCTAAATTTTAAAACGATCTGATCCAATTGTAATAAGTAATAATTACAGAAAGGTCCGGTCACACTATAAAACGTGACCAAAGATAAAAATAACCGACACAAATGTTTACAGTAAGATTTCTGTCGATTTTATTCCATACTCAAGTCTCATTTCAAAGGATTTGTTAACCAGTTAAACCCTTACGGTTATGCTGATAATGGCAGATCGCAGATAATTGCAATTAATGGCGTACGGTTTGATTTAACAAATTATCCCTGTGTTGTGATAAATCAATCGAGTTGTATCGTCTTTATAAATTAATTTATTTTTGTTTTCTATCATCCTTTAGTCTCATTTCAAAAAATAAAATTAGACCAGTTAAAACATTACTGCTATGCTGATACTGACAGATCGCAGATGATTGCCATAATGTCGCACGGTTTGATTTAGTAAATTATAATTTCACTTGTTTTTTATAAATCAATACAGGTGTCTGTTTATCAAAATTTATTTATTTTGACTATTCTACCAGCCTTCAGACTCATTTCAAAACGTATTTTTTTACGGTTATGCTGATAATGGCACATCTCATATGATTGCCATTAATGTCGTACGGTTTGATTTAATAAATTATAATTGCACCTGTATTGATAAATCTTTCTAGATGTATCGTTTAAAAAAATATTTATTTTGACTATTCTACCAGCCTTCAAATTCATTTTTTTACAAGTTAAACCCTTACGGTAATGCTGATAATAGCAGATCTCAGATAATCTCAGTTCATGGCGTGCCGTTTTTGATGTGATTTAATTCCTTGTTTTATGAAAATCAATCAAGTTGTATAGTCTTTAAAAATTAATTTATTTGGACTGTTTTTGTTTTCTATCGTTCTTTAGTCTCATTTAGAAAACAGAAGAAAAAATTGACCAGTTAAAACCTTGCGGTTATGCTGATAATGGCTGATCTCAGACGATTGCCATTAATGTCGGTTTGATTTAATAAATTATAATTTTACTTGTGTTTTTACAAATCAATTCAGATGTGCATCGTTTATCAAAATTTATTTCTTTTGACTGTTTTTGTTTTCTACCAGCCTTCAGGTTCATTACAAAGTGTTTATTGAACCAGTTAAAAAAAAAAAAAAAAACCTTCCGGTTGTGCTGATAATGGCTGATCTCAAATGATTGGAATTAGTGGTGTACAGTTTCATTTAATAAATTATAATTTTACTTGTGTTTTGATCAACACATCAAGATGTCGTTTTTAAATTTATTTTGATAGTTTTTTTTTTCTACCAACTTTCAATCACATTTCAAATTTTTTTGAACCAGTTAAAATCTTACGGTTATGCTATGTTGATAATGACGAGATCTGAAATAATTGCAATTAATGGCGTACAGTTTGATTTAATAATTTATATTTGTAATTGACTGTAATAAATCATTAGAGAAGTATTGAAGTTTGAAAGAAGTTTATAAAAATTAATTTGATTCTAGCCTTTTTGTTTATTTTTCTACAACTCTCTTACAACTTATCAATTTATACTCCGAGATGATTCTGTTCCCCTGTGCAAACGTAAAAATTCGAAAGTGCAACGTCTTGCGTATGGAAAGATTTCCATTTGTAAAACCATACACCGGACAGTGCCCCTGGCTCGAAAACGATCCAAGTGCCCTCGCTCCTGCTTATTTATCCTGTATCATCTAGTTACGAGCCTAAACACGACTTTAAAAAAAAATCGTACCTCGGGGCACTTGAATGCAAATAAAACAAACCCAGTCTTCGACTAGGTCGACTTTCGAACGATTTTTATCGTTTCTTTCTCCAGTCAAGGTTAATTTAACGAGGCACTGCCGTTAAGACGGTGATACCTTCATCGTGATGAGGGATGAAGACTCGCGGTCACTCACACTTCCCGTCCGGTTGATGACAATGTCATCGAACCTTCATTTATTCCTACTCATCTCTTTATAGAACTTAATTTAAATAGTGTTGGTTAGATTAAACATTTCGCTTTTTTTTTTAGGTATAAAATAATGTGTTTTGTTTTCTTTTCCTGGTTTGGGTTCTTGTCAGGAAGTACACCTCAGAGGAAGAATTTTTTCAATTTACGAATAATAGAATCATTTAGTAGAAATAACTTGTAATAAAAAAACAGAGGGCTGATAATGTACTTCACAATCCAAAATCTCTTATTTACATTAATTTTCTTTTCCTATTTTTGGAAGCTTGTCATGAAGTACAAAGCGCAGGAAGTTTTTTTCTTTTCAGTTTCTGACAAATCTAATCAATTAGTAGAAATAGTTTGTAAAAAATGAGTTCTGATAATGTGCTTCACAATCCAAAATCTCTTACTTTCATTAATTTTCTTTTCCTATGTTTTGGAAGCTTGTCATGAAGTACAGCGCGCAGGAAGTTTTTTTCTTTTCAATTTCTGACAAATCCAATCAATTAGTAGAAATAGTTGGTAAGAAATGAGTGCTGATAATGTGCTTCACAATCCAAAATCTCTTATTTTCATTAATTTTCTTTTCCTATGTTTTGGAAGATTGTCATGAAGTACAACGCTCAGGAAGTTTTTTTCTTTTCAATTTCTGACAAACCCAATCAATTAGTTGAAATAGTTTGTAGATAATGAGGGGGCCATAATGTATTCACAATCCAAAATCTCTCTGTTCTAATTGATTTTCTTTTGTTCTGGTTTTGGAGCTTGTAGAGGGAGATTTTTTCTATTTTTGAAAACCCAAATTATTTATCTTCAGATAGTTAGCAAATCATTCAAAAACTTTGTTTTGTGTGCTTGTCACAAAGTGCGCTGTAGAGGGATTGAGTCGTTTTGACCAATTTCTTAAATATCTAATGGTTAGTCACAATATTGTGTAAAAACAGTGGAAGTGGGACATGACAAGTTTAGCAAATTTTATTCTCATTAATTTTTGTTTCGAGCCCTCCTCGCACACCTAAAATTTTATGACAAAGAAATAGTCAATCTAGGCATTGTGTTTATTTAACCGTCTAGCTATTCTGTCTCTGTTAATTGTACTATTTAAACAGATGTATAACAAATACCTGTGTTTGAAAAGAGTTTAGATAATTTACATAAAAAATTTCAAAAAGGACCTACGTCAATTTGATGATTCAACTAGTCCCATTTTACTACTTTTTCTTATACATTTTTTTTTTAAACTTGTACATCAGCTCGTAATGATGATTAACAATCAAATTTACTTGACCTATGTTTCAAGCTTAAGTTCTTTTCTAAGTTGATAAATTGAATTGGACTTTAAACTGTTTTGCAACAGGATCCATGGGATGTTAAAAAAATAAAAAAAAAAGTGAGAAGCATACTACATATTATATAGATTTGTATATTATATAGATGTATTAGTGGATATTAAAGGCAGGCGAATGAAGAGAGGGTGAAAGAAATGAAAATTGGACGAGAGGGTCACATAGAGAGAAAGACAGAGAGAGTGGTAAATTGATTGATCATAAGTTAGAGAGCGAGTGAATGGGTGTGAGAGAGGGACAGACATAAGGAGAGAGCTGGATTGATAAAACTAGGGAAAAACCATTAATAAGACCTCATTAAATATAAAAAAACATATAATTTCTCCTAGGATGTAAAATCATATTCTCTTTAGTATATTACATCTTTTCATTATATTTAATGATACGACATAATTTTAATTTAAATGAAATTTATTGTTCATAATGGAAAATATCTTCGTGCAAGAATTTGATTTACAATAATGAAACGTTGTCGTTATAGAAAACATAATAGAAATCAAGGTCTAACACATTTAATGAATTTTTGCAATAAACTGTTTCGTTTTATTGTCATTTCTTACTCATTTTCGTCATATTTTTATTTACGCTGGAACTTTAAGTTAGGATGCTTTTTAAAAATATGCTTTCAACGTAGCAACATTGCAACAAAGCTTATTAAGTATCAAAGAGTGGAATGTCAAATGATTTGACAAAACCAACTTTGAACATATTCATTAACAGGTTATTTAAACATTGGTGAATGAACTTTGCGTCATAAGTCTTACATGTAACATATTATCATAGCATTTTTTACATAATGAACAATTCCAGGGTTTCATTGCATTGGTTATACTGTTATTTTATTTTTATACCCAATTAATTTTTATATTATGATCGGTTTCCTTTTTACGAGGTGGGTATTAAACGAAAGGATCGACTCCATTCACATTGAACCTAAGAATTTCCAACCTTCAAATTCACTTTGTTTTCTATTATTTCCTTTGATAAAATTAATGGACACGTGTCTTTCTTCATAAATTTGTACTTTGATTTAATTGTACTACTACAATATGTCTTTATGACTTAATATATATAGGTACAATGTATACTCTTTGGTGATATGTATAACAAATAGAAAGACATTCCTTATGATCTCTGAGGGGGGATGAACATGTGTTTGTCAGGAATATCAACAGGTCAAGCTGCCTTTTTGTCGAACCGGAACAACAGGGTAATCCAAAGCCTGGGATTCCGCCTGGGAAAATTGATGAGCTAACGTATTCCATGTTATTTAGTAGTACCACAGGTACCTGATTCGTCGAGGAATTCGTTTAGTTGACCCAGTTGCTACGGTCGTGTTGTAGGTGCCGAAACACTTTCCCCTGCTGAGTATCACTTCACTCGTCAACAAGTGTGTCGGGGTTTCCTCCTCTTTACAGAATCTACACACACCGTGTTGGTTAATGGAGATCTTTCTCAGAGGCCCATTGAGCCAGCCCCGTTAGAAACCTGTTAATATTCTGAGCCTCTTCCTGTTTCCTTCGACGCATCGTGCAATTTATTTAGCCAATTTGTTTAATTCTTTGTTGTAATTATTTTGATCAGAGCTTCGATAGTCGCTTCGTTTTGTATCCTCTGTTTTGATTGATTACATTGATTGTTTTGATTTAGTACATTGATTACATAATTGCATGAACACAGGCTTGAAAGATATCGGTCTTTACGCACATGGGCTATGAGTACTTGACGAACCTTCTTGCGTCCTTGGTCGATCGGTTCACCAACAGGTGCTTTCTTTAGCCAGGTTTTTGTTCCACAAGTCCCACCCTATTTTGGTGCTGGAATGGATTTAAAGCTTGTATAAAATTAAAATACCTTATTCGTGCTATCTAGTGAGTTATAAATAAATGTTTGAGGTTGAGATTATTTAATTTTTTTTCTGTATTTTTATCATTTGGTAGAGAGGGAGGGATTAGCCCTATGTTCTCTATATTTGGTGTTGAGTGGTCTCACCTTTATGGTTAATTTTCTTGCTATCTTTCTGCACAACATTAATCCTGACTTCCTTATAGTAGTGCCAGTGTATTCTTTGTGAATTAATGCCTATAATTTAAGTAAGATATTTGGTTGAATAATTCAGCCCGATTTGCTTAATGTTGGCCATTGTCGTATTCTTAAAGAAGACCACTATAGTCTAGTTTTTTTTATTGAAAGGCCAACAGCTTCTAGGGATGATATTTCTTCAACCCGATGCTGTAATAGCTACAACCTCCATCATCTACGGCAAGAATCCGTATTTTCAGCGGCAAAGTAGTACCTCAGGCAGGGTGTCGGTAGCCTCCAAGGTTTTGGCGTTAACACGGCGCTCATTTCTGTAAGGTCCCGGGTTCGAATCCAGCAGCCGACATACGTACAAATGGGCTTTTTTCAAAAATATAACCTCGTAAGATGGAAAACTAGTTATCTATTTTCGAGGGAGGGATCATATCCAAGAATTTCAACATTGGTTGACATTTCCCACAAACCTTGCAAGATAAATTTTCAAACGAATGAAAATTGTCCCTTATAATTTCGTTAGGGACAAAGACCAACTTTTTTTTTTAAATCAGCATGTCTATGCTTGCTGCTGTTGGATCAGTATTGGGTGTTGTATAATTGCACGTCATCAATTAAATGTTTGCATTCTCATTCCATAAAATCACCCGATGTCCCGGAACCCGTTTAAAAATAGCATTTGCGGGTTTCAACGTATCAATCAAATGAGAATGTCCTGAACCACGAGTAGCTTTGAGAATGGGGACCCGATTGATTAGGAGGGCTGATAGCTAGTCAGTACAAATTGCCAGCAAATAGAGGCTTTAATATTTTTTAAAGGAGCGTAAACAAATTGTAAATCCACACCACCTAGCTTAGTTTTTCGAATAATGCCATAAACACGACTACCACTAGTGTTGTGCATCAGGATGAGAAACATTGAGTATTGGTCACTATGATTTTATGTTGGCAGTTTCCTATCATTCTGGTCTGTCAGACACTTTTCAGGCTTTTGAACATTGGTGGGTCAGTTCAATTTCACACTACCAGTAGGAACCCTCAAAGCAATACAAACAAGCTTGAAATTACTCCATGAAAACCCCAACAAACTCTGCACGAAAAATGTCACGATAATGCAAATCGAGAGCAACTAAACGAAATAACAAACAACTAAACAAAACAGAGACTTAATCTATCAAAGATAACACCGTCACACCTTCCAGCTTCCCAGACGAAAATATTAAATGGACACGGGTAAAGAAACAAAAATCACACAAACCCACCAGTGAAGATGGCGGGACGCGTCAAACAGACCAAACCAGCACGAATAGGTCGAACAAAATGAACCGGAAACCACTAAGCTCACCCCACATTCCTCAAAAAGAATGTTAAGTTAAAACAGGGAATATTCTAAATGGTTGTGAAATAAAGTAACTTACGTGTCTTAACTCTTGATCATTATCTCCTAACGAACATTAATTGAGTACAGTGATATGCCCAATCCTTTTATATTGCGGTAGTTGAAAACGTATATACAGGGCACTTACAGAGTTAATGGGCACGTTAAATCCTGAATATTTAGAGATCCTACTTGCTGCGGTTTTGCATAGTATTGTAATGTAGTATGTCTATATATAATGTGCTAATAATTTGTTTTGTTTCAGACCGACCTATGCGGCATAAAATGGCGTAAAGTTGTCTGGGGGGAATGGGGCGATTGCGGAGACGACGTCCTGGAGGACCCGGTGCTGGCCTCTTACGTCAGGTGCCTTTCTGCAGACATCCTCTGCGTCTGGAGAAGGGTCTCCGCACCGCCGACACCCCCAAGGTCAGATGTCCTGTTCGACCAGCTGGGCATAGCAGCACCTCCTCCGCCCCCCAACCATCCACCACTGGCACTCCACACGGCCAAAGAGCTTTGGATATTCTGGTACGGTGAAGAGCCAGACTTGTCCGCCCTCGTCTCACCCGAGCTCCTGTCATCCGGTAAGAACTTTATTTTAATTTTATTAGGTTTTAAAATGGTTTATTAGGTATTAAACAGTGACTACTGTATGAAAAGCTGCACTGCCATAACCATTATCAATTCTTTTTATTACACCATAATTAAATCATCTTAATTCGTCCAGACTAACATGTAACAATATAAATCAAAACAAATTTTTTAAAATAAATATTTTGATTGTTTGGAAGCCTGGTCAAGAAATAGTGAAAGGCTACATTTTGGCATTGATGCCATCATGGTCATGTTTTTATTAAACCTTAATTAAATCATTTTTGAATTTATCAGACTAGCTTATCCCAATTTAAATAAAAAACAATTTTTTAATAAATATTTTGATTGTTTGGAAGTAAAGTCAACATGTAGTGAAGCACGTTTTGTGTCATGATCATGAATTTCATAAAGTAGACCACTAAGTAGGCCAAAAAGGCAAACAAATATTAAAACAAACAAAAACCAGGAGGGGAAAAAGGAAAATTTTGTTTAGTTTTTTTCAGTAGTTTATGCTTTATTTTATTATTAGTGTTTTTTCTTCTTTTGAAAATGGCGGTACCCCCTGTACTGGACCATTCGCTATTTCTCATTGTTTGCCCCATTTTGTTAAAATAAAAATGGTTCAATTTTGATTGTTTTTATTTTATAAGTTGAAGATTGAAAAGTACCTTTCTTAATTAATTTGTTTATTTATTAAACGCCCCTTTGTGTTAGACCCACCCAAACGACCTACCGACGAGGAATCGCGCAGAAACGCCTCCAAAACGTTTTTTGCACATTCTACAGAACCCTGGAATGCCGACAGATTTATTCCCAAATCACCTGTTACACAAATCTTAACGACCGAAAAGCAAGTGGTCGTATGTGAGAGTAGTATTTTTCCTGTTTTCAAAGTATGTTGAGGTTGTTTGGCAACGCCGCGGCCCCAGGAGCCCCCTCCTCCTTCTTATGACCACCTATGTTCATTCTTCACCAGTAGTGGCACTGTACCTGGTCCTCCTAGATTTTTTTTTCCACGCCACGTCCATAATCCCGATCCATTTCTACTTGTTGCTCCAGATGGACGCTGACTTCCGCATATGAATTCGGAAAATCACTAGTTTGTTTTTTAACCATTTGTTTCCATCTATTTTGGTATGGGATTTCTGTTATCTTTTCTGTTAAAGAGATTACCCCGAGTTTCAACACTCAAACGGTTGGGGACTATCAGTGACCTCTTAACTTTATTTACTTGTTCAATGTGAGAAAAACACAAAACCTTATTACACTCGACTGAAATAAAAACTCGTTAACACTCTTTACTATATCCTTTTATTTATATACTTTTATTAATTATCATAATCTACGAGATAAATTTTGTTGGAGATAAAGCGCAGAAAAACAAAATGTAGACAAGTAAACCAATAAGTAAAATAGTGTTTAACCGGTTGTATTATTATTTTTTATTTTTTTTTTTTAATCGGACGACGACGAAGACGACTCGTGCAGAGCGGATATCCCAGATGTTGTCTGTATCGAGCAGCCTGTAAGTAAGGTGGCCCATATTGTGTTTGATGTGGGCCTACCCTCCTTGTTACCATGCCAACGACAGCCTACACTTCTTCTCTTCCACCCCGCGCTGCTTCTGTATTCACCCCCTCCCGTGAAGTCGGGATGTTCGCTTAAAGAAAATTTACTTATTCTCCGGGATCCATTTCCAGGATGGGCTTCACCCCTGTGACCTAACAGTTGGATCGTCCACAAAACTGCAACTGTTGAATTGCCTAAGTCCCTAAGTTAAAGAACAAAGTATGTTGTTTTATGGTTGACTTTTGGCCAACATAAAACAGTCACTTTTCATTTAAGGGATAAAACAATAAAAAAAGCTCTTTATGTACCTTTACATTGCAACAGCTTGGACAACGTTTTGGGAATGGCTTGAACGAGCCTCCTTTAAAAATTCTCCCTCTTCAACCTATCAAACCTATTCCTATGGGAAATAAAATATCTACGTTTTACTCAGTTTTATTTGTTTTATAATCATTCAAACTGTTAAACCCCTCCCTCTTGTCATCATGAGCAGGCATTGTCCTCAATTCGGCCATACCTGCCTCCTCAAGTGTGATATCTAGAACACGTGTCTGAATGGATAAAATGCCAGAGTTTGACCTAGAGGCGTACGATGCGACATGAAAGTACACAATATTATAAAAATGTTTTGACATGGAAGAAGCCTAGGGGTGTCTGTGTCGTATTATGGTACTTCTGGGAGATAAGTAAATTTCTTCTATGTTTAATTTTATATATATTCTACTTCCAGGGTTAAAATTGATGTTAAAAATATAAAACTGAAATTGCTTATTGGATAGTTATTAAAATTTAACACGTTTAAAATGGGTCACTTACCTCGACCTTATCTAATGGGAAAATTGGCCTCCTTTCAATATATTTATCTAAGGAATCCTTCTTCGGAAACTTCTCTTTGTTTGATGATTTTTTTCATTAGTTGAAATTTGAAAGTATATTTGACAAAAAATATTTATGATGTTGCAAATTTCCATTGTTATTTTTCATGTTAAGAAATTAGTATATTACGTCTCCGACTAAATTTTATGATTTTTTGTTTGCTTACAATCATGCTATCTAGCAGGCCAATTCTCTTCCATTTTTTCTTAAAGGATTTTTTTTTTAAAGTAGTATTTTGTACACCACTTGCTACGTTTTCTAGGTCAAATTTGAAACTAATACATTGTAAACAATTTTTGACAATTCCAGTTATGTGTGAATTGCGAGAAAATTTAGGTCAATTCTCGTGATGGGATTTTAATTTTATATATTGCAAAATGCCCGAAAGGATTTCTTGACCGATATAATTTATTTAAGTGAATTAAAGGTATTCACTTGTAATGCAGTCATATTTTGGGAAATTTCCCCCTACAACGGCGTAAATCGTCCAATACCATAGTAAGACGATTACACCGTGTATCATCCAGCACGAAGTGCAAGTATCGTAACGAGTTGGGCTTGTTGCAGAATTCGTTACATTTGCATGCACGTGTATTATACAAGATTTTATCTAAGAAACCTGGGATAAAACATCTTTTCCCCTGCCTTACCTTATCCCCTGTTGCAATGCGCGACTTGATTATTTTTCACTCCGAGTAGCAAGATGTACGAAATGTAAAATTCTGCAATAACGAAGAATGTGTAAACTGAAATACCAGCCTTATAATTCGGAATTGATCTTTTCATTTGTCATGACAAGCGTAGAGAAATCATTTATACCGATATTTTCGGCAGACCGAGGTCTGGTCTGTCCTCCCGATTGAGGTCTGGTCTGTCCTCCCGATTGAGGTTAGGGTCCAGGGCTATCGAGAGTGCATCAAAACGTCATCCAAGAGCTCACTCATCCAATATTGAATAATGCTTTTCATTCCAACAGAGCGTTGGAGGATTAGTACTCCATTACCTAGGACCGGCACACATGAGACTTATCGAACCTTTTTCTGCATGCCGAACACATACGCCGGCTTTGGCTTAAAAGTAATTCCGTGCAACCGCATCAGATTTAAAAGGCGGGTTATTTCCTCTAAACAACACACCGTCGTTTCGTTTCGCGTTTCGCCATTATCAGCGGTCTGATACCAATAATGACCGGAAAAGACCCAGGTTCATCACTTCGCAGATAATAGGAAAGCTTCACGATATCGAGTTTTAAAGAGTTATTTATGTTATATTGGTCAGCCACAATACCACTGTGTATTGAATGTTGACTGAAGACGTTTAAATAAAAAAAATTAAAAAAACTATATTTTGTGGATAATCGACAAAACCCTCTGTTTTGCTGTCATTCAATATTTTTAATGCGGTTTACTCCATTCGTCCATTCGAATTTTTTTCATTCCGCTACAAAAAGTAGGAATGCGGTTTCTATCTTCCATAAACAAAATGGAAACAGAGAAAATAAAAGCGTTCTGTTATGATAAAAACGCGCTGTGTGTAAATGGCATAAATGCGACTATGGAAATGACTGGAATGTTATTAGACGACTGGGTAGTCTCGATCAGGGGGTGATTTAGGACCCGTTTGAGGTAGTAGTGTTGAGCTCCCCATGGACCGTTTAGAGTATCGATTGAGGAACGGCAAGGCTAAAACAAACTATTTTGAAAAGGAAAAAAAAGCTTTGATCTTTTGGCAGTGAATTTATTCCAGAAAAGCTCCGAGATGGCCTCGCATGTATTTTATTTAAATTTTCTTCTGAGGCCAGATTTTAATTAATTTAATCTTAGGGCTGGTTTTTCATCAAAGCAACGCTAAACCATCGTTGAGACATTTTTGAAAGGCGAATCGTGTCCGATTGTTGGCTGCATGACAACAGGAATGAATCTCTGGGGTTCGTGCGTTTGTTTCATTCATATTCACTACTGTCGAGTGTGCATCTGTTAGCTTAAGAGTTATCGTGAATATTTATGTAATTACTATTAAATAAAATATTTTTTTCCCTTTTAGGCGATAATTACCTACAATCTGGTAATTCTATTTTTTTTATTGTTAATTTTAAAATTAGACAGCACGTAATGGTCATTCCTGATTCTAGGCTTATGAAATTAGAATGTTCAAATGCAGCTTGATAGTACGTATTACTCATTCCTGATTCTAGGCTTATGAAATTAGAATGTTCAAATGCAGCTTGATAGTACGTATTACTCATTCCTGATTCTAGGCTTATGAAATTAGAATGTTCAAATGCAGCCTAGGTTATAAAAGAAAAACCCTCAGATTTTCCACATGCTCAGTTATTCCCGTCGTTTCGTATACCCCACATTTTAGGCCAAGAGGGCCCTCATCCATACACGCTAGAGTTTGTAATATCAATTTGCCTGATCCATCCAGTTCAGGTCACTGGGCGTTCAACTGAGTTCAGCACATAGTCATAGTTTAGTGTCTGTCCAGTTTCTCCATTTTTCCTACAGGATTGCCAGCCTGATGTTGGTGATAATTGCGCGGCCGG